GCTACCCCTGCTTCAAAGGCTGCTACCCCCTCAACTAAGCCTGCTACTCCTGCTTCAAAGCCTGCTGCTGCTGCAGCAGAGAGCAGTTCTGACTCCTCTGAGGATGAGGAAGAACCAGCTAAAGCTAAGCCAGTAGCAGCAACTAAACCTGCTACCCCAGCAGCGAAGCCTGCCACTCCTGCAGCAAAGCCTGCAGCAGCAGAGAGCAGCTCAGACTCTGACAGCTCAGACTCTGAGAATGAGGCCTCAAAACCTGCAGTCAAGAAGCCAGCTCCAGCTAAAACAGTGGCTAAGAAACCTGCTGCTGCTGCAAAGGCCCCCGCAGACTCCAGTGATGACAGCTCTAGTGATGAGGAGGAACCCAAGAAGGCAGCACCACAGACCCCCAAACCTGCAGCCACAAAGGCAGCAGCTGCTCCACCAAAGAAGACTCAGGAGAGCAGCTCTGACTCCTCAGACAGCTCTGACTCTGAGGCAGAGACCAAGTCCACCCCTGCTAAGCCTGCGGTCACAAACGGCAAGGCAGCAACACCCAAGACCCCAGCCAAGACCCCAGCCAAGACCCCAGCAAAGCCAGAAGAGTCTTCATCCAGTGACAGCAGCTCCGAGGAGGAGGAAGAGGCCAGTAAAAGCACTAAAGTAAAAAAACCTGCAACACCAGTTGCAACAGCAAAGACGACTCCAGCAGCGAAACCTAAAGAGAGCAGCTCCTCAGACAGTTCATCAGATGAGGACGAAGCTCCACAGAAAGCAGCCACAGCACCCACCACCCCCACAACAAATGGTACGTCTCAACAAATACTGAACATGACGAGGCTTTTTAACAGGGAAGTCAAATATGTCGAGTTAGATGGCACAGTCATTACATGAAGCGTCACTCGCTTTGTACCTTAGTTTTACTGTGTAATGTCATGCATCTCAGCATGAGTGAGCTCTTGTAACTGGTTCCTCTGATTCATGCAGGTACCAATGGAAAGAGAAAAAAAGATGACGAATCATCAGAAAGTGAAGACGAAGATACAGAGGTCACAACCCCAAAAAACAAGAAGGCAGCAACCACACCTCAGACTTTCCCTAAAGCCAATAAGAAGGTAAGAGCTGCGCTGTTCTGGAAATCTGTAATGCCTGAGTTACCAGTGAAGGTCTGGTGGCGGCTGGATAAAAGTGATGGACTAAATTTGATGGAAACAACTTGTCTTTCAGTCTTCCAACGTACCTTTCCGTAGAATAAGGGAGGAACAAGTTGATGTGGATCCCCGTCTTGCAGATAACTCCTTTGATGCAAAGGTCAGCTCAGTTATCTGTCTCATATCAACATTTTGATTGGTAGCTGAGATCACCAAATAAATAACCATTATGTTCCTTTGTGATTCCAGGGTGGATCCAGAGGTGACTGGGGCGAGAAAGCAAACGATGTGCTCAGGTTCACGAAAGGCAAATCTTTCCGCCACGAAAAGACCAAGAAGAAGAGGGGAAGCTACCGCGGCGGAGCCATCTCCACCACTATCAACTCCATTAAGTTTGACAGTGATTGAGCTCATTCTCTTCCTGGTTCCTGATGCGATCAAGACTTTGACTGTGCTCCCTTCCCCTGTATCCAGTCCCTCTGTCCTAAGAAGATCAGAGACAGAGGAACTCAACCTGTAGAGCTGAGCTGACACTTCAATTCAGTTTGCAGCTCTAAGATTGTAATTGAGACAGCTAGTTTGGTCTGAGGCAGCAGGAGACAGATGGACCCAGCTGTGCTGCATACTGTACTGGTTGACATCTACGTGACATTACACTTATAGCCACTAGGTGGCTGCAGGCCACCTGTTAATGGTAAAAAGCCAATATGAGTGTTAGGCCCTTTTTTTTCCTCTTGTTTTGACTTTGTTAACCTGTATTATTCTCAAATTACAAATGTCCTGTCACTTTGTTTGGTATCATGACTTTGTTCCTTTATCTATGTCTGAGTTGCAGCCAGCCATCTCACCAGGTTCTTTGTTGTGATACTGATTTTTAATGGAATCTTGAAGTTTGTTTGGTTGGTTGTTCCTTTTTCATGAGTCCACATTTAAATGGGGAGAGGGTGTGACCTTGGGCTTTTTCTCTTGACATTACATAAAAACATTTAGTGAGTAATCTCAGTTTTATACTGTATTTATTACGTTTTATTCCATTGACCTTTAGGACCTCCGATGTTTCTTTCATGCTGTATTCAAGCCATTTTGCTTTGAGGATGTTTCTTTTGATAGGATGCCCCTGTCTACCCCTCATTATTCTGTTCATCAGTGGTATGGAAATAATGGATTGGTACAAACTTAACAGAGCCATAATTGTCTCAATGATTTTTATTTAGTGTATGAACTTGTTTTTTTATTACCTGTTGTAGCTGTGATTAAAGACCTAACAGATTAAATGGTGTTAATTGGTGTGCTTGGAATCACTATATTTATTCTTTCTTCAAACCTATATTCAGTTAGAACAGACAGAACGTAACCTTGAATACCTCACCACTAGGTGGCAGTGCAGCACATAGAGTGTCACTACCTTAATGTGAGGCAGTTAAGAAATTTTACTATTTATACGTTCATGTTAATTTGTGTCTGAACACTCTTTACAACTCTGGCTTCATGCAACCCTGAACACAAATCATCAACCCTGGAAATTGTTGTTCCCTGAACTTTAAACAACACATTCTTTGTTTCTTCATCTCTCTCTTTCCTACTAAACATCTGAATCATTTTTCATAGAAATCTTATAGTTAAAGCGTTCTTAGTTCTGTACTTGAGTAAATTTACTTTATAACTCACCATCACTGTGTTGAGATATTACATACCAGGTTTACCTGCTGTCAAACGTCAGCCAGCTGAAACTCTCTTTTCTGCCATTTCAATGTGATTAATGACGTTGCTGACGTTTCTCCTCTGCAGTGTCTCCTTTCTCTTCTTAAAGCAGCTGCAGCAGGTGAAGAGTTGGAAGTCAGTGATGAGGTGTCCCTATGAAGTGTCCGTAGAAACTGGTTATTTCAGGGAGTAAAGTGGTATTTGACCAGTTCAAGAAGTAACAATGTGATACAACATCAAACAAATGTAACACAATGTTAAACTTGAACATCAAACAGTTCTGTGCTCACTACAATCACTTGACACACACACACACACACACACACACACGTTTGTACTTCTATGTTAGTGGACACTCACTGGCATAATGCATTTCCCAGCCCCTTACCCTAATCATCCAAACTAAATGCCTAACCCTGATTCTAACCCTAATCCTAAAACCAATTCTTAACTCAATGAATCTATAAGTGGGAGAACTGTTTGTTAGCGTGAATCTCTCATTATGAGATTATTCTCATAATTGCGAATTTGTCAAGAAATAATGCAGAGATATTTCTTCACAAAAGGCCAATCCTATGATTGTCTGATATCTATGAGTGTGTATATTTGGTGCAGTTTAAATGAACTGAAGGGGCCTGTCGGCCTCGGCAGAGGTTTGCTCCACTGATAAGTGCCAGTTTAGTTGTCACCAGTTTAATGTTCTCATTTGGCCTCATTCACATGTAAACTCAGTTCATTTCCCAGTTTTAAATGTGACACTGGTTCCCACCAAAACCTGACAGTCCAACCAGGTTTGCTTTAGAGACACTGAATCTTTGACATCTCGTTAAACAACAAAGATGTGGTGGTTTGAAATGACTTGAACTCTTCTTCCAAAACAAAGATTGGTCTCTCTTCACAGCAATGCAAGCCTGGTGCCTTGTTAAGCAAAATAAATTTCCCCTGAAACTCCCTTTAAACAGACCATCAATGCACGTACATAGGATAATTATTCTTTTACAAGCTCATCATACATGACAGATTGCACATGACACATGGTTCAATGAAGCATACACTTACTGTATTCAGTGAGAGGAAGTCTGCAGTCACGCTAAATATAGTTTCCCTCCCAAGTCTGACAACAATTAACCACGGAGCGTTGCTGCAGAGGACCCTGACAGATGTGTGTGCAGCTCGGGGGAGGGGGCTTGGGCGTACTGTAGAAAGACTGTAGAGCTGTTACTGGGCAATTTTACACTGCACAAATTTAGAGACTGTGCTGCTTGGTGTCATGTCCTCAAAGTTACTATGGGCCGCATGAGCCTTCATCAAGCTTTTGAATGCTTTGTTACTAAACACCTACGTGGTGCTTTCATTGCTTTTCTGACTGATTATTCAAAATCTATAAAAGTGATCTTCTTGAAAGTTCTTGAAACTGTGGAACATGAGCCCAGAAAGAAACCGTTACTTGTTGGTGTTGATGAGAACAAAAGGGCGGATACAGGAATTCTATTTTTAATCACTTTGTAATGGAAAACTTGCACATGACCTTAGCTTGAACTCTGATTTCCGTCTAATCTCACCACACTGGGATGATGTTGTTAATGCAGCATATGCCAATGCTCTCAATACACTCCTTAACGCCCTGAGGATCGCCTTTCCCAATAAAATTGACATGTCCAAAATTACAGGGTGCAAACAACAACCGGGAGAAACCATGGGGGACTTCCTCACATGTCTGACCGTCCTGTTTAATCAACACAGCGGCATCCCGATACCCCACAACCTTGGCAACGAACCAGGGATTTATGAAACACATCTGAAACAGGCCTTCCTGAATGGTCTGCTCCTTCCACTACGGGCAGACGTAGGTCGCACCTGCAGCGGGCTTGGGGATGCTTGCTTGACCGAAGTCAGGCGTCATGCTGAACATGCCGAAAGACAACAGCTCCAGAAAACCCAGCTCACTATGATGCAGGCTGTGTCAGCACTGGCAGGGCCCTTTAACCATGGTGGCGGCACCAGCAGAGGCAACTTCACGGCTCCAGGAAGAGAAGGGAGGGGACGTGGACGTGAGCGTAGGTACTATCGAAAGGCCCCAGTTGCCAGAGATGAGTGTTACATCTGCAGGCAGAAGGAACACTGGGCAGTGGCAGCGAGTGGACAGTGCTGCATGAGCCTCCACATCTGACTGAGATGCAGAAAGGGGGGGGGACTTGTCTACCCGAGAGGAGCACACGAACATGCACACACGAACATGCACACACTCCACACACACCAGAGCACATACTGTACAACCTGTTGGCTCTTATGTTAAATACAATAGCGATGCTTTCAAGAAAATGCCTCAACTTGAACTGTGTGTTAACGGTCACAAACTTAAATTTATGGTCGACTCTGGTGCAGGTTCTTCTGTGGTTAGGATGTATTATTAGCCCACACTTCCTGAAATGAGTAGTCGCTTTATTTTCTCTCAAGCATGAGTGTCACAGACCACACATGAGCCGCTGTTTGTGTATCAGTGGCATCTCCCCATGCATGCCTCTACTGATCTGCTTTCCATGTCACACTCTTTTGTCACTTCTTCTTCTGAGTTTATGTCACTTCACATGTGACAGATGCATCTGATCATGCTTTTGAAACTGTGTTTTTTGAAACTGTCCTGAGGACTCTCTGGTTGTGTCTATCATATTCTGGTCTGGTTCCAAGAGTGCAGCTGCTGTCTCACTCACTGACCAACAGAAGTCACTGTTCTGCGTTCCGAATTCCAGCCCTCACATCTCGCTCTCCAAATCACATGATGACCAGTGGAGGGACCTTGGACCATTTGTCCGATCATGTCAGACAGTTTCAAATTGTATCCAAATCAGTGTCATCCTGCCACACGATCATTGTATGTGGTTGATCTCCATTATCATATCATGTTGTCAAACTCCTCAGATGTTCTCCTCTGCTTGCAGACTTGCCTTTGTGGGCAAAGGACAAATACGATGTGGGCCTCATCAGAAACTGTGACCCAGTTACAATCCCCCCAAAATCTGAATATCGACCATGTAAACAACAGTACCCACTCAGACAGGAAGCTGTGGGTGGGATACGCCCTGTTTTTGAATCTCTGTTGCAGGCTGGTGGAATTATCCCATGCCCTGATTCGCCTGTCCGTACTCCACTGTTTCCAGTTAAGAAAATCGGAGATAAAGGTCGACCTACTGAGTGGCGATTTGTGCAGGATTTGAAGGCTGTGAATGACGCTGTAATTGCTCGATCACCCATTGTTCCCAACCCGTGAACGTTGCTTTACCAAATTCCGCCTGACGCAGAGTGGTTTTCGGTTGTAGATTTATCCAGTGCTTTTTTTTTAGCGTTCCTGTCCACAAGGACAGCCAGTACCGGTTTGCTTTAAACTTCGAAAACAAGGCCTACACATTCACACGCCTTTGTCGCTGCTACTGTGAGTCTCCAGGTTCAGCTCTCTTGCAGTATGTTGATGGTTTACTCATTGCCAGTCCCACACAGGAGTAATGTGAAACAGATACGATTGCTTTGCTGACACATCTGGCTCGCGAGGGCCATAAAGTCAGCCTCAGTAAACTGCAGTTTGTTCAACAAGCTGTCACGTTTCTGGGTCATGCCATCACCAAGGACGTGTTGCTGTGTCTCTCATTCTCACAGAACAGAAGACCTCACATCTTTCTGCTGCTCGCTGGTTGAGGCATCACACTGTTCTTCTTGATATGCCCAACATCACAGTGAAACGCTGTTCAACCTTGAATCCAGCCACTTCCAGATGACGGGGAAGAACACAACTGTGTCGCTGAACTACAAGTCCAGTGTTCGGCACGACCTGACCTTTCCGACGAACCTCTTCCTAACTCTGACTTGATTCTGTATGTAGATGGGTCCGCATCACGTGACCCTGTCTCTGGTACTAACTGTGTTGGTTTTTCTGTCTGTTCTGATAGTGACGTTCTCCTCTCTGGTCCTCTTCCTCATCACCTCTCAGCCCAGGCAGCAGAACTCATCGCGCTCACTGAAGCATGCAAATTGGCTACTGGTAAAACACTCACAGTTTGCACAGACTCCAGATATGCATTCGGTGTCACTCATGATTTTGGTGCTCTCAGGTAAAAAGATTGCTCACCATGGCCTCATTTTGCTGTATGCAAATGTGCTGCACACACGCGTGCCATGGATGTGGTGTCCAGGGGAAATGCCATAGCTGATGTTGCGGCTAAAGCTGCAGCTCGCCTACCACTTCCTCCTTCAAGTACACAGGCTGTTGCACTCACATCTGATATGTCCTCCTCTCTTTCTGCAGTTCAGTCCACTGCCACTCCTCCTGAGATTTCCCTGTGGAAGGCTTCCGGGGCTACGTTTCGAACTGGTGTGTGGTATGGTCCTGACAACAAACCCTATTTGCCTAAACATTTGGTTGGTAAAGACCATGTGTCAAAAGGGGGGATGTTAGCTATGATCATGGAACATTGGTTTACAAAAGGTTTCTCCACCTATGCTCAAAAACACTGTGAGGCATGTGTTATCTGTGCCACACACAACGTCGGCAGACCAGTGGCTGTAACCAGCCAAACGGCACACCCGCCACCTACTCGACCTTTTGAATATCTGATGATGGACTTCATAGAGCTATCACCATCAGAAGGTAAATCTCACTGCTTAGTGATGGTCGATATGTGGTCAAAATGGGTTGAAGCCTTTCCTGCCTCAAAACAAACTGCAAGTGTAGTCACCAAAGCACTGTTACGAGACATCATTCCATGATGGGGGATTCTTAGCAGAATCTCAAGTGACAACGGCAGACACTTCGTAAACGAAGCTGTCAAACTCTCATCTGGGAATGGATGTGCGAACACACTGTGCATATCATCCAGCCAGTGGTGGAGCTGTGGAACGAGAGAATGGCACACTCAAAACTAAGCTTGCAAAATGCTGTGAAGACACAGGTCTCACATGGACAAAGGTCCTGCCTCTGGTGCTGATGTATATGAGGATGAGAAAACGAACCAGGTCTAACCTTTCACCTTATGAGATTCTTTTTACAACTCCTCCCCACATTGGTGTGGGTCCTTCACCCTCTCCACTTCCATCCACAGACTTGTGTGCTCATGATATGTTGTCCTATTGTTCTAACCYGACTAATGCTCTTTCAGACATCAGGAAACAGGTGACATCTTCCCTTCCTCATCCAGCGACTGAACCACTTCAAAACCTCCATCCAGGCGACTATGTGGTGGTCAACAACTTTCACTTCCACAACTTTCGTTAACATTTTCACTGATTTCCCAGGAAATAATCTTGAAGACAAAAACTCTGTCACATTTAGTGGACCCACTTCTATGAGCGATGTGATGGAGAAACACACTCTAAGTGCCATCCTAGTTCATTAAGGTTTCTTGGATAGCTTAATCGCTGATGCAGTAAATTACTATTTATTCTAGGTTTTCATTTCTTTTATAAATCGCTGTTAGAACAATTATTAGGGAAAAATTCAATACTGGCTCTGTCTGCACGCTGGCTGCTTTTCTGTTTCACAACATGAACAAGAAATTATTTGGGTGTTGGTATCCAAACATGTTCTGTCATAGTATTGATCCGTTAATTAACAATTAAACAGATCAATGGTCCATGAGAGGAACTTGCAGCTCTAGTTAGATCTACGCACCTTTGAATTGGTTAAGCTCTACAGCTGAAAAAGCACGTTTGTGTAATGGAATAAACTTGTTGTTGCTTTTCAAACAAAACTAATTTGCATGAATGATAATAGGTTGAGACAATGTTCCAACCTTTTATGCTATTCAGCTAAAGAATCATTTAAAACCAGTTGGATTAGTTAAAAAGTGCATTTTCACAAAGCTGAGGATGAGCTGTTTTTCTTCGCTCAGGAAAAGTACTCATGCAAGTATTGAAGTTGTTATGTTTCGTGTGAGTGTGGAGCCAGATTCAAATCGAGATCTAGAAAGAACATGGGTGAGGAACAGCGATGAGTCCCTTCAACCTAATCTCCTGCTGAGCAGTTAGTCCTGAGAATCACTTCCTGTCTGTCAGTTGCAATGTGAGAAAGCAAGAGAGTGAGCAGCTTGTTTCAGGCCACTGCAGCAGTGTGTGTGTGAAGGGGCTGCAGGACAATCTTTTAATGGGCAGCAGAGGCTGAGGCCTGCCCATCCTGTCCATTTCAATTAAACAAAACTGCTGACTACTCTTGCACACTCACACACACATTCTTCTTTCACTGGTACGCATTCAAAACCATTGCACTCATTCAGCAGTGTTTTTTGCCTTAAAAATGTTTCAACCCATTTCATGGCGCACCATAGATTGGTTTCGCTAATCCTCCACTGTCCTCTTCACACAGTCAGAGGGGGAAAATGAGAACACGGCAGAACAATCCAACTTTGAAGTCGAGCCGAGCCGTTGTTTAGAAATAAATCTTAAACCACTTTACTTTATTAAAACATCTTTAATAGAGCATTTCTTTAACCATCCATCTTATAAAGTATTTAAGTGAGAAATAATAATTTGAGGATTCCACCCTTTGAACAGGACATTGTAAAACAGAGACAAGCATCTTTGATCATTCATGGGACAAAAACGATTGGGAGTAAAGCTGCAGTTGAAGCTATCAAGCTGAATGAAGAGGTGCTAACAAGATTACAGACTTCTTCTACCTGTCCCACCAAAGAAATAATTAAGGGTCTGTTGTCAGACTAGAACAGACTACTGCAGCGTTTATACAGCTGAAGGTCAAATAAGATTGATTCCACTTCTTCTCTTCCCTTTTGCAGTAAAACGTGTTAAATACAGATATCAAAGTGCTGTTATTAGCGTCACACAGAAAACTGTGAATATAACTTCTAGAATATGGCAAAAATACACATAAAAAGTTTGCGTGTATATTTCAAGATATACAAATACCCATGATGCTTTGGACAGGCACACCAGAGAGGCCTCTCAGGACACACAATGCTGTGTCAGCATGCTTCAGTCACTGAATTGATAGCTTGAACTACATAGGCATGCGTTAATGATTTATGATGCCCCTCAGAGCTGCCGTCCTAATGAGTTCATTGCACTAATTGTTTTTTTTTTATTCTCAAGACCTGTAGAAGGAGAATGCGTTTGATGCTTTATGGGTTGTTGCTTTATTCACACAGTGTCCTTCTCTTTTCGCTCAGCCGCTGCTTCCTATGTCTTGGGTGTGGCAAAGTCCCAGGCAGTGTCCTGGGCACACTTCCACATGGCCCGCACCAGCCGAGTGAAGCCCATGTCCTTGGGTTTCTCCAGCCCACGCATCAGCCGCTGCTTCATAATGGCTATGAACTCCTTATTACTGAGCTCTCCGTTCCCTGAGGAGGACAGGCGGGTCGGGGAGCAGCAGAAGAAAAGGAAAGTGATGGACACACGGGGTGAGATGAGGAAATTATAGAGGAAGAGCAGGTACCAAGGGGGAATGACTTCCATTTATTGATGATTTCCATCTGTCAGTGGGGATGTTATTTTCTTCCAATAAATATCTGCAGTGGGGGTGATATGATGAACCTGTCAGCTACTTACCATCACAGTCGAACAGAGCGAACACCACGTCGCACACATGATCTGAAAGCTCCACCTTGGCCACAGTGCGGGCCACCTGCTTCATGGTAACTAGGAGACACAGAGAGACAAACACGAGTGAATCTTTTGCACTAATAAAATTCAGATTCTGCAATGTCATCTGAAAAAAAAAAAAGAAATACCATACGTGTCACTTACAGACAATGTATCTGCTTTTACTGAAGCTATGTGTACATGTAGAGAAATCACTCACTAAACCCATGTTCACATGATCGTGCACTATATATATATATATATCTCAATACCGTGGGAAACAAGTTTATTTCTATATTTTAAGCACATGTCTGTAATAGGGGAAAACAATCAATAACTATGCTTTTTAACACAAAGTCAGTGCAGCTTATATTAACTGCATCAGGCTCAGGTCATATTCAAATGCAAAAAACAGAATGTCGAGAAGAATGCCCAAGCTAAACTCTATTGCCATCCAACCAAAAATGATGGAGTGTGAGAGGACGAGTACAGTGTATAAAGTGAAATTAAGATGTTGACTGGGCAGAAAAAACACTATTAGAACCACAAATAGATGATTAAAAGATAAAAAACTAATAAATCTCAACCAGAATTATTGATCGCCAGACAAACAAATCTGACAAAAGCTTACTGCAAATGGTGAGATTAAATATTTGAAGAGGAATCAGTCCAGCAAGAATCTCATTAGTGGGCTTCTTTGCTACATTTAAGAAGGACTATGCACTGTTCCATATAACACACACACACACAAATTAGATACTGTGCTCAATTAATGGGAAATCATTGTATTTGAGCAATAGATGACAGAAAGAACAGAAAACGTTATAAAAGAGAATAGAGAAATACAAGACTTCCTTTAGCCTTTCAGTGAAGAAAGAGGGTTTCAGTGCATGGACAAGGGGAGGATGGAGATAAATTAGAGGCGCATGCCTGGCAGCTCTCCACAAACCCACAGCAGCATGTTGTCACTATCCCTCCACAACACACTCACAAATTCACTGTAGTGACTAACACGCATGTACAGCTTGTTAGTGTGGAGACATGCAGCCAAAACAACACCCTAGAAACAAGCACCTCAGGGTTGACCTGCACTCGCTGCTTCATTAGTGAATCAGAACTAATGGACAAACTGGCATGAAACATATGGAGACATATTGAAGGACTGAATCACTACAGCAAATGAAGGAAACACAGACTCATCAAATGATTACCATATATTAAAAGTTACAGGTCCTCACCGCTTGCTCTCCCCTCACCTTTAATTGACTTCATTGTTAGGATCTGAAAGACTAATTAGTTCAGTAAAAATGAATGTGCTGAGGAAGATAAAGGAAATATTACTAATTTAAAGACTTTTCTTTTTCATAACCATCGCCCATCCATTTTCTGCCATTATCTGGGGTTGGGGTGACACAGGTCAAACAAAGTATTCCAGATGTTACTATCTCCAGTGATGTTTTCAATCTCTTCCTGGGGGATCACAAGGCGTTCACAGGCCAGATGAAATATATAATCGCTGCAGTGTGTTCTGGGTCTACCCCGGGGTCATTTACCAGTGGGACATGCCCAGGAGGCGGCCTAAGCAGATATCCAAATCACCTCAATGGGCTCCTTGTGACGCAAAGGTGCAGCTGCTCGACTCGGAGCTCCCTCCAAATGTTGGAGCTCCCATATCTCTAAGGCTTTGCCCAACTACTTTAAGAGGAACATTCAGCCGCTCGCATCCACAATCTCTTTATTTCGGTCACTACCCAAAGCTCATGACCAGGTTAGGGTCAGATGTGTATCGGCTAGTAAGTTGAAAAACTTTGCCTTCTTAACTCTTCTCCTTCATGATCAAAACGGTCTGGTTCTGTAGCTATACTTTCTCGCTTCACCGATCCATTTGTCAATCTTCTAATCCCTGAACAGTTCCACTTGTCCAAACCCTCTGGTCCTCCTTTCATTAAAAATGGGAACCACCATCCAAGTCTGCCAGTCCACAGGCACTGTCCCAAACCTCTTTGAGGGTTCCCCTGGTATCATTATCAATCCTCATGAAAGAGAATACAGACTGACACAGTCAACTCTCTGTCCCTGAGATTGTTAAGTTAAACTACTTTTATGATGCTAGTTATAGTCAGTATTTTTTCAACAATAGCAATACAATGGATTTATAATCAGTAATTACCTCTTTATAGGGCAGTTTTCATATTTTAGTGGCAAATAGAATACCCAGCTGCTAATGCTTCACATAAAAAGTGTTCAACTGGCAAAACAAGGATGGTTTTTATCGTAAAGAATCCATGGTACAAAAGCTGCATCTACAACACAAGATGAATCACTGTTTGTATTTTTTGACAATATATCAGTTATATGTTTGAAAAGGAGTAATGCAAAAAGAGGAAGTAGCCACAGTCAACTCCTTAGCAAGTTCACGTTGGAATCTCTTGGAAACTCACAATTCAATTGCGATACAGAGGGCTGTGATTCGATTATAAAAAGAATTTCATTATTTTTGTATTCCTGTGTGACTACAAGAGGTGTGCATCTTCACTAGCCTCATGATTTGTGCTTTAAAAAGTCGCTTCTTCCTGTCTCACAAAAACCCCCCACATGTATTTAGTTATGAATTGATGGTGTCGGATCATGAATTCTGGTCACTTCAAACCTGATTTCCTGGCTGTGTGCGACTCGTGTTTGTGTGGCAGATAAACAAAAATGTGCCTCATAAATTCTAATGGGAATCAAAAAACACAAACTTAACGGCAGTAATGTTCAGATCCTAATAAACTTAATAGTGTTGGTTTTTATTGTTAAAATGTAAAGTGAGCGCAGAGTAGAGGGAGGACACTAAGACGTGGGCTCTGAAATGTGTCTGTCCTGAAGCAGTGGTGGTTATAATTATGCAGTGCCAGGACATTACAAAAAAGTAATGAAGCGGAAAACATGAGTCAAATATGTTCTGACTCAGCATTGATGCAGAGTCATCGTGGTGATAAAATTGATAAAATTCCCCACCTTGAACAGCAAGGTAGCCAACTTTTTACAATGTTTTACCTTTCTGTGCACAAAATCAGATTCTCGTTACATGATGTTAAAAGGCAAATTACTGACTGACTTAACTATAAAAACAATGCAGGTTTGTATGGCTGCACTAAAAACAGACAGACCAGGTGCTTTTCTGTTAGATTTCTGTGTGTGTTTACTACTGTTGGTAACCACAGTTACCGGATCCACCGATTCTAGATTTTTTAAAACTTCTCGCTTTACCTTGGATGTGTGGTTAAACTGTTGTTATCAACCACTGTCAAGTCATCTGCTAACAGCTTTTTTTTACACCCGTCTGGTGATCAGGAGGGAAAGAGTAACCATGATGGGGTAGCCTGGTCTCAACCCTCCTCTCCCTCCCTCAGTCTTGATGTTGACATGTGTCAGTGAGCATCAGTAGCCTGCACGGTCATGTGAGAAGTGATCTGTCATGTATGCATGTTTGTGATGCGTCATGTTTTCCCCCCCTGAGGCTCTGAGACCCCATCTTACCCTGCCTATACTTAAGCAACCCAACCGACACAAGCAATGAGTACCACAATGAGTACTACTACAATCCGAAACAGGCAAACCGTTAGTGAAAAAAATGTGGTGTTTGTGGTCCTTAAGCATGCGCTCTCCTGTGGGCACGGAGGAAGAAGCGGTAGACAAACGGATGGATAGATGGAGATACAGATGACAAATGGCTGAGCTATGACTGGGAGCCTAGCCAGGCAAAGAGAGACGTGGGAGGCTATGGCTGGATGGAGTGTTAAAAGCTCTGAGAGACAGAGTGTGAAAGTGACAACAGTTAAGTCTAAAGGGGAGTAATTAGGAGAAATTGAAGCAGCAGAAAAGGGCAAATGCAGTGTACCTTTATCTATGGAGGCTCCGGCCATGTGGTAGAAACTCAGAGCTGTGTCCACGTCATTCACGTTCTTTAAGAAAGTAAAGAAATTCTCCACCTCCTCAAATGTGATGCCCTGAAACAGTAGGAAAATATGAAAAAAAAAAAAGAGTCAGGAACAAATCATTCATGCACTTTTACCTGAGCTGGGACAATTCTGTGATAAATTGGCCTACTGTTGCCATGACAAGAGCTGCACCTGCACAATGGCATTTTTTGGAGCAGCTCAGCAGTGTGATACAAATGACAAGAGGAAGTGGACAGAGGAAATCGTCACACATGGATGAACAGTGAGCCGCTGACAAACGGGGGAACAGACGGTCTTAGACACATATGCACAAATACACATACACAGTCACACAGCTGCGATGCTGCTGATGAGCTCATTTGCAAAGTAAAGTAAGCAGCTGGTCTCAGGCAATAAATAACACTTTTCTCATTTATGTTGGAGGTTATGCCAAGGCTGAGTGACAGATAAAGGGAAAGAAAGAAAGAAAGAAAGAAAGAAAGAGAGAGAGAGAGAGAGAGAGAGAGAGAGAGAGAGAGAGAGAGAGAGAGATTACTGATTTGCAGCAGTAATTCCTTGGAGAGGCTCAACTCGAGCCTCATCTTTTTCTCATGCCTTGGAGGAAAGGCAGCGTCCCGGCTCTGTTTTCTTTTCTCTGCTAATCACTGCATTTAACCGTACACACTTTCCGTATCATTGTTAACTTTTGTTTTTGCTACAGCACCTGAGGTTACAATATGCACTGGTGTAAGTTCAGTCAATTGAATGATGGGGCTCATTGCAGTGTAGCAGAACCAGCATGAACCCAAAGTTCATGCCAAGCAATGGAGAAAGGTATAGGCATATATTTAAATTGGTTTCAAGCCCTCTACATTTAGAATATTTTTACATTTTCTCCAGTTTGGTCCCAGTGCATTGTTCTGCTTTATGCGACTGTTCAGTGAAGAGGGGCGTGGGTTAAGAAAATATATTCTTTCTATATACTATTTTTGTCAGCGAATTTGAATGCTGACACTGTTAGACACACAACTAAGCTGAAAAAGGAGAACCTGACTAACTGAAGAGCAAACGTGAAAGAAGAGAGAGCCTGAAGCTACAGCCATACTACTAAGTATTTGTTTAAAAGAGCATCATCTCTGCTACAGACACGCCAGGTGTCCACACTATGGAGTTTTAGAGCTGAGAAGTTAGAAGTTAGAATTTAGTTAGAAGTTTGGAAAGGCTGCTGTCCCTGTTTAAGTTGGAAAACTCCAGGGAAGCATTTTTAGTCTGGATAAATGTTTGGGTATGATGATGTTGACACTGCACTGATTCGTCAGCCTGCGATCACATGACCCTCTTTCAGAGAAACAACTGACATTAGCCTCGGCTACCAGTGTAGAACATAACCTGGATAATTAGAAGCATTGCTGACTCTTCAGTTGTCTGTACTAACAGCTGTTGTACAGTTAAATCCCTGCAGTACATTTTCCACCATTGTTGCTTCTATTTGTAGCCTAGCTCTTTCTGCAACTAACAACCAAATGCTTTCTGTGTACATGCCTGCACACTGTGCCTGACTGGTCATGTGATATGCATTTTCAGCTGTGTTAATATGGACAGGGATTAAAACTGATACACTTGTGTGGACAGAGATTGTTTAAGTTTGAAAACGCCATTTTCAAATGAAAATGTAAACTTTCTCAGAGAGAGCTCAGAGACAGATGAAGGATTAACTTATGTCCCGCTGCCAAGCACTGTCTGCTCTATGTTTGGTCACCACTGAAACAATGGAAGGTGGTGGATTGTGACTGTTGGTCAGATGGATGAGATCAGACTCTGAATGTGTTGTCCTCTCCCAGTGATGTATTACCTCTCATCTGTCTCTTTCACACACTCACCATGTCCCAGCACAATCTCCTTTTACCTCAGGCACACTTTGTCTGTCACACATCCTGGCATGTAGGCCAACACACCACCACATCGAGCACCATATATAACCACAGAGTACCAATCACTTTGAGCATGAGATTTATATACCTGCGCATCCTTAAACATCTTCTTCAATCCCTTCTGCATCAGCTTGAGTTTACGAGATTGGACGCCACTGTAGGCCAGCAACATACCTCCAAACTGTCTCTCTGTGATTCTGCCATCCATCGGATCATTCCTCTCAAACTAGAGGAGGAGGGAGAGACAGAGAAAAAGATGAAGATTGAGTGCTATGCAGAGAGACAAACACATGAACTGGAGGAGTAGGGCATGGTGAGATGGGAAACAGTAAATACTGGTGTCAGGCTTCAGGTTGAAGCACGTGTGGAGCTGGCATGGGTGACATTAAATCTACATGTGCATTTTTATTTTTTACAATGTTCCAGCAGTGAGCCTCGGCTGTGTCAGGTCAATCCATTCGATTTATATCTGAGGATGTTTGACAGCCACATGGCTTCCTCTCTCCCTCTTCATCTCTGAATGTGCCGACCTCTCAAAATGTTAATTTGTCGCACTTGCAAGAGGCAGCTGATGACTAAGCCTGAATAACCCTGATGTTTTAAGTGGTGACCTGTGTATTCATGCAGCTCTGGAGGATCCAATGATTGTGAGGTGAAGTTTCTGGTTATTATGACCTTTATGTTTTTACACATGATACATTTGGGAAAGATAATCTCTCATTTTCCAAATTCAGATTGTGATTTCAGCTTCACTAGGGAATTCACCAACTGTTATATTAAAACAAAAAAAGCTCAGAGAAGAGGAGAAAATACGCAAGAGACTAAGTTAATTACATACAGCTTGTAAAATATGGCAAGGGGTGAACTGCAGCCTCAGCAATCACAGAAAAAGTGCACACGTATGACCCACATTAAAACAGGGTCACCCTTATTTGTCGCATTATGATTGCAACCTCTGAACATTGTGGTACCATTAACACTTGATAGATGGTGCTTTCTTTCTGGCAGATGCTTCAGCTCATGTCCTATTCTTAGAGCTTTAGATGATGCTGCCCATTATGGTTCCATGTATCAGTTAGTCACTACCCACGCTAATTAAAAAGAAGAACCATATGCTCAACAACACTGATCAGTAGCTGTTACTGCAGAGAAGGAGGACAGGAGGGGGTCTGGTGTCACTCTGAGGAGGCAGATGATGGCTTTTATACACTGTTGAAAGAGTGACGCTGACCAGTGCTGACAGACCATTCACATTATATGTCTGTCATCCTTAGCCCTTGTTTTCAGAGGAAAACTGTTTACTCATCTCTGAGCAGGTAATGAGAGGAGACCTGGATCAGAGCAAAGCCATAAAATTCAGATCCATTCATTACCACTGTACACAACAGAGCAGTGAAGCAGTGGATGAAATTTCTCAGTACAACACTGTCTTTCTCTGCTCATTGAAATTCCTCTTTCATTACCTCTAGTTTGAGCACATCGTGCTGCAGTTTCCTCTGAAACTCCAGGAAGCTGCCGATGGTGAGTTTTCCCTTCAGGTCTTCTCCAAAGAAGTATGTGGTGAGAGCAGAGCTGCAGCCGGCTGTCTTCAGGGTATTTCCTGTGGTGGAGCGGTCACGATGTCGCATGCCCATGCTGGTCTGAGAACGAATGATGCTCTGGACCTGAGGATGAGGAAAGTCCAATGACAACCAGGATCAGCGTGGACACTTTGTTTTAGAAATAGTTGTGACTCTTCACTTTCTGGAGACTATGGCAAATGAACTGTATTTATATAAATATACATTTATATACATTTTATGTCCTGCAGTTTTTTAATGGTTTTGTGGACTTGTTGATCACTCAAATCATTTCATAAACATCATTTAGGGAATGGGTTGGTTAGTGGAAGTCCAGCTCTACCTCCTGAGCCACAGATGTCATATAAACATCCATTAAATCTCATTCATTGATTTAAAAATTATTTCATCAGACAAAATGACAAAACACAGCTTTATGTAAGATGAGCTTGCTATAAAATAGATTTACTTGGTTTCTTCACATTTCAAAACAGTTAAATTTCAAAATTAGGGATTTACATTTATTCTCTTAGATACTTAGGTTTAACTGAAAAATATCCATCACAATAATTCTGTAAATGTTTTTAGAGTGTATGAATAACCCGATCAGATCCAGTGGTACAGTGAGTATTACATTATAATATATGGTAGACTGCAGTGCAGCAGTTATCTACTCCCTCTGAGAGTGCACAACATTGCGGGGACCTGCCTTTATTGGCTGTCAGTTTGCATTACTGGTTACTGTAATGCAATCATGAGCTACATTAGATTTACGCACAGTCCAGAGGTGTGCACTTGCTGTTTTAACCTTGCGTCTCTCTGTTTGCAAGATGAGCTGCTCACCTGTTCAAACTCCTCCAAGTCCACCTCTCCGTCACCGTTGAGATCAAACATCTTGAAAGCAATTTCAAAGTTTCTCTGGGGAGCTGGACACCACATGATACAAACACACACAAAGAGATACATTGTCACATCAGCATAGCATATTATGAAATCCAATGCTGCACTGGATCGACCCAGAAAATAGCCAAAGAGTTCAATACTGACTAAGTCATGAATTCTTCACAATCAGCTGCAACCTTCTAATTAAAGTGATCGTCTGCATACTTTCAGTAGATAAATTCAGCCCTCAGAGTTGCAGTCTGAAAATAATGCACATTTTCTATGCCAGACATACACAGACTATGAAGTCACATATTAAATAAAACACTACATACATTTCATTGAGCTACACATTTGCTCATTCTACTTTATTTTACATTTTATTTGAATGTGAAATACTCAATATTCCATCTGTGTAATTCAATACCTTATGTTCAATCCTGTTACAATTTGTTTACATTGAATATATAACTTCACTTTTCTGTGTCTAATTTTTTTTTTGTGTTAATATTTTATATTGAGTTGTTCATTTATTTTACTGGGTGTCTATTTTTACTATCCCCTTTGCCTCTGTAATACTAATTTTCCTCTTTTGGAATTGGTAAAGAATTATTTCACGTTATCTTATCATATCATATCTAACATTTATCCATCTCAAATAAAAATTCACTCAGTCACTCAAACAACCAATACCATAATATGTAGGGTTGTTCATACAGTAGCAATACTTCATATTTCTGAGTACTGTACAACTACTATAACTATTTGAATTGAATTGTTTCACTAACCCTACTACTTGAAAAGAAAATGTGGAAAGTTTCTCCTTTCTTATGTAAGAAATTATTAAACAGGAAAGCAGTAAATATGTGCAGTAGCACTATGACGCTTAAAGCAATGTGTGCGTCCATTAGGAAAAATATGTCCTCATTTGTACTATTTTTGCGGCTGTGTTAAATGGATTGAAACCAAACATAAGGCACCCTGCCCTGCCTGCTTAGAATGATTTGTCCTTGAAAATTTCCCCAGAGACTTTCTCCATATGAACGGATTACAAAAAATGGTCGACCTAAGCTGGAAGAGAGACGTTTGCTTGCAATCAGTCAGAGCTTCATTACACATTCAGAGATGAGGTATTTGTGTGAATCGACTCCATGCATCTACCATCAGTGGTAGATCAGGCTAAAATTATCTGAGTCTGTGATACACAGCATCTCAAAGGCAGCTAGCCTGGCAGAATCAACGTTATTAACTTTGGCAGAATTGGAGATCACTCTGAATGGGTAGCCAGCTTTGTGTCCTGAGTAATAAGATCATATTGGAAATTTTGTTTGACCTGATGCAGAAAGAAGGCAGACAGAGGAGAGCATCTTGGCACTGATTGGGACTGATTTGTGATACGAATGGTGGATTTTAAAGATGAGGAATGGAATGAGTTAGGTCACAAGAACCATTAGATCTCTGAGAAGACTCTAGTTGAGCAATATACTTACTGGACAGCACAGTGGTGAGAAAGATGTAGTCTGAGAAGGAGATAAGGCCACATTCTCCCAGAGAGTAAAATATGCTGTCCTCATCTGCAAACTTCTCCCTCTCCTGGGCTATTTTCTGCTCATCCAGGTCAGGAAAAGGGGGAGGGGAGAAAAAGGTGGTATTAAAAACCTTTCACATGATTCAGCAAAAGCCTTATCAAGCCTTTACAGCTCCAGGTGTGGCTTTTTGTGTGTGTGCAATCAAGCGTGTGTGGGTGTGTCTTAGAGCAAAGCTCAATAAGAGACACGCAAACACAGAAACACACTGTTGAACCAGTATGAGTATGCATACACAGTCACAAAAACATTCATGCAAGTGCTGCATACACATGAAGCCATACAGGCAGGTGAGAGTGGTAGTTACATGTTCATGGTCAGTTCAGATACAAAACACATTAGTCACCAGAGGTTGTACTCACAGTGTGAAACTGACATAAAGAGAGAGAAAACATCACAAGAGCACAGGCGCACACAATCGATTAACCGTCTTTAACACAACCCAAATGTTAAAATCGTTAAACACAAAGTGACTTTATCTCTTTCACACACGCACAAAAACGCACAGGTATTTTTCTGTTAGCATGTGTATACTCACAGCATTGCATGAAAAAGTGACCTAATCACATGCACACTACAAGAGACTTGAAAGACAGTTTCCTGACAAGTAAAACGCTCTAAAAAAAAAAGAGAGTGGATAAGACGGACAAAGCATGCCTGAAGAGGGAGGGGGGCTGCGGGAGGTTGGGCTTCGTAGAGCCCGTGTGGAGTTACCTCCGTCTGCAAAGGTTCCATTCAGAGGAGGAGGAAGGAGGAGAAAAAAAACTGTTAGAGAACAGCGCGGCCTCTGCTGTCTTTAGCAGGGCCTTAAACAACAAAGACACATTCATATTGTTGTACATCAACACACACAGAAAAACATCTTGTTCACAACAAGATAATTGGGGATACCACTCAAATTAAGAATACAATTATGTTTTGCCATCTCTGCAGTCCATAATTACAATTTTCACGTACGAACAACAATAATGCCGGCCAAAGCTGGAAAGAATAAGGCAAAGACTGTGATTTGCCCAAAATACAAAATTATACTGCTCCACAAACAAGGCTCTTAGAAAATGTGTACAAAACTACTGTGTCTCCCTTTTCCATCTTTCCGAATATTTTCAATGGAGCGGTGATACAAATGAAAGCTAGTCCCATATTCTTTTAACAAGGAAACTGGGAAAACATATGTGAATACTACAATTTGGTGGTCGCCCCTTTATAGCATAACAAGTCTTACAAATTATTTTCCCATTAACCCACTCCCTCCTCATAAGACTCAGACTGTATCATGTCTGCTAAAGGCAAATAGTATAAGCTTATTAAATGTATCATCAATTTGTCTTTCTTCACTTTTACATATTGAAAATACAGTCAATTGTTGTTTTTACAGTTACATATTATTATTTGCAGTGTAAACAGAGAAGGGAGTGGGAGTGAGAAGGGTAGGTGAGAGAAAAAAGTTATTTTTGGAGCAAGGATACTGGTTGAGAGATGTAACAAAAAACACAATAAAAACTCTTGGTGTCATAAGACTTGAGGGTATCAGGTGTTTTTAAGTGGAAGTCTAAGTGATAGAGAGGACTAGAAATAAACAGATACAGTTTGTACATAGAGGAAAAACAAAGAGCAGGTTGAGAAAGTGAGAATAGAAGAGGTTGGTATTTGCCTCCTGAGTTTGGAAGGATGACCCAAAGAGAACGCCTTCTGAGCCCGAGGGGGACCGGAGTCCTAATGTTATAATAACATGACATATAATAACTCACTATTTTTTTCAGTGTCCACAGTCAAGGACAAAATCACCCCAGCAGAATAGACAAAATGACATTCAAGGTAAACAAATATAACTCCAGTGGCAAAGACTGGAACCAAAATGATATTCTGCTGATAGAAGAAGAGATTTCAGAGAGTGCGTGGACATACTAACTAATAAGCACTGAGCTTTTCGAATGCTCAGATGCAGCCTGTGTCCTAGTTAGAAGAGAACATGATTCTCTTTTAGGATCCAACTCTATAGCCACAGTCTCCCCTGCTGAGCTGACAATATACTGTAGCTTGTACTCTAATATACAGTGTGCTATTACACTGTAACTCTCTCCAGAAAACTTCTGCACTGATGATGCAGACACAGAGGTGTGAAGTGGGTTTTATTTAAAGCTTTCCCATGAAGCTTTTGGGTTTTAGGGCCCCTACACCCCCACTGAAATCCTGTCTTATCTTCCCCTCTATCTTTTCTGTCATTGGTGCAAGCAATAGCTTCCAACTAAAGATGTGTAATATTGGATGCTCCAGCAATAAAACAGTAAAGCGTAGTTAGACTGATATGGATTTTTTGGGGGCCCATGTCGATATGTTATAAGAGTAAAACATTTACCGATATATATATGTATATGTATATATATATATATATATTTTTTTTTAAATCAATGATTCCTATGATGTCAATGTCAAGCCCTTCTGACAAGGAAATTAAATTCAGGCTTGATATTTTACAGTTAAACCATAAAAGTTATATAAAAACCTACAAATAAAACACAAATACAACAGAACTTATAAACATAAATTAAGAACGAAATCACTTGTGATCATATATGTCTTCATGTGCGAGAATGTCATGGCCGAGTCCACGGGCTGTGTCCAGATGAACCACCCAACTAGCCTGTGAGCTGAGGCAGAAACGCAGCACTGACAAGGCTTCTGGCTGCACGGTGCTGGCGGCAGGGCAGTCAAATGTGCTGTAGTCATATTACACACACAGATGGGGTAAAGGGTTTGGTCAGGGCTAATCTCTCCACTCCATCAGATTATAGCCCTATGGCTGCCTGGGCCAAATTTAAACTCGCCCAAGCTTTAACAGCTCAACAAATGAGACTCATACAAGTTAAAGCACAGCTAGGAGCGTGCATGCACAAGGGATAATTCTCTGTCTGCTCATTTCACATGAGAGGCCAAGAGACACTTTCTAAGCACAACACTGGAAAGTGAGTTCAAAACTTGGACACCATAAAAGTTCTTTAGGAATCTCACATTTATGTCACACAAAAACCTCGGATGGCAGAAAACTCAACAAATGATCAATGCTTTTATTAATGTCAATTGTCAATGTTATATTTGTTGACTTTCTTTTACTTTCAAACAAAAATATAGCCTTACATTATCAAATCAATCACATGGCACTGTTCTTCTTGCAGGTTAAATTATACCACTGCATTTCTGAAATCCTGCGTCATCATGTCATAAAAAGCAGCAAGCTGTTGAAGCAATTATGAGAAGAGACGTAATTCAACATGGTATCCTATAGTCTTCTAACATGGACATTTATACTAAAATTCTGTCATGTACCACCCATGCATTTTCTGCTAGCTTTATTCTCATCATTTACAGTGAACACTTTGTGCGGCCAGGCATTTGGCTAAGGAGCTGATGACAGTTCAGTCTTGGCCCTCTCTAATACCACTGTGCTCTGTTATTGATTAAACTCCGTCCAACACTGCAGCTGCAGACAACCCGATAACAGGACAGAGAGAGAAGTGGATGATGAAAGAATGAGATATAAGCCATGTAGTTTGTGTTCAAGCTTTCGCACTACAAAGACAATGACTTTTCTAGGATATTGTCATGAGTCTGTTGTCTGCACAGTCTGCTCTGAGTGCCAAAACAAAGAGTTGTCACAGATGATGCTCAGGATGCAAAGTGATGAAATCTGCTCCCATGCATTCATGTTTGTGTGGCGAGTGTGTTTAAATGATGCCTGTTCCCAAGCGACCACTCATCTCTTGTACAGGTGAGTCTCACTAGAAGTCAGTGTACTGGAGCATCACACCAGTGGGGATACACAGATTTAAGAAAGCAAGAGACGAGAACAGTGTGACAGCAGTGTGGCGTGTGTGAAAGAGAGGGGTACGGGGGATGTGAGACAAATGCATTAAAAATGGATCAGTAGCTTTAAGTCCTTTGTGCTGCTTTGTGTGATGTGATAGCTGTGGGGTTAGAGTCACTGTGACAGGTACAATAAAAAGATGTGCGTATCAAAATGAAAGGGAATTCAGAATAGCCTTCTTGAGGGCAAAAGTCAACCTTGGACTGGGTCTGACATTGGCATGAATGATGGTCAAAAGTTATCAGTGCACTTGTCTTATACTGCAACACGGCCTCCATCCAACCCTCAAATAAAACCACCCACTTCATATAATCCATGCTAGATACTCAGCCTTGAACACCACAGTTAACTTAAACAAAACCCATCCTTGACCATCTGAATGGTTATGTGAGAGTATTTTCTCCTTACGCATGACGACACCTTGGGACCAAAACATCACAGTGTGTAGGTGCGTGGGCAGTTGTGTGGGTGAAAAGAACATTCATGTATTAGTTTTCCACCTCTAGTCCCAGGAGGAGCTGCAGAGCAGGTGTACTGTTAATAACTCATAATTATTCTGGGCGCACGCTCAGAATAATGGGCCATGATGTGGAACGCTCAATAAACACATTTTTGTCGCTGAGGAATGGCAGCTGTTTCATAAGGGGGGGGGCACATTTTCTGACCAGGTGTACAGACAATCCAACCTCTTCTACATGAAGAAAGGGAAGAGAGAAAGAAATGGAGAGAAGGATTTGGTGTGTAAATGTGTTTATGTGCGAGTTTTCTTCTTGACACCAAAACAGACAGAGAGGGAAAATAAATCGAGGGACAGTTGAAGACAAAGTGAAAAGAAAGAGAAATAGCACTGTGACAGTCCAAGCAGCCGCCCCTGGGAGCTTCCTGCGAAATCAGAAAGAGTGAATATGACAACAGTTGGTGTAACGAGAGGCTTGTTTCCATTCAAGCAGCCCCCACCGCGCTCCATCTGAGTGACAGGTGTCCGCTCTCAGTTGTAACAGGTCATGTGGCAGATGCTGTGACTTTACACAGAGAGAGGGCCACAGCATGTAGGAACAGTTTCGACACATATTAGATCCAGTACTGCCTAAACCATGCTCTACAGAAATCATGCAGCATTGACATCTGAACAATCCAGAGGATGGATTTGTGAAGGCTACCAAGCACATCAATACAGCCTCGATGTTAGCTAGAAGAGCCATCTCCTGGGTCCAAACCCCCCCATGATGCCACCATGCGCAGAGAGGAGGCGCCACCACCAACTACTTGCTCTGTGAGACACAGACAATAGAGCAGTGCATGCTGGGGAAAAGGCTTGAGTGCCAAAGCAAGTGGGAAGCTAGAGGTGATATTTCTCAGAAGACATGAGCAGGAAAAAGGTGTTTATAAAGCAAGACAGAGGGACTGAAGGAGAACAGCTCTGCTGACTTAGTATTGACCAACAAAGTTCCTGACAAGTGAATCATTCTAGCAGCTCTTTGCATCTCAGTTTAATCTCTGTTTAGTAAATCCCTGTGCAGGTAAAGTATAAAGTATTCACTGTTAATAATTCAACAGAGAAGGCATGATATACAGCTGCATCTAACAAGCTATACAAAGAGCCCCAGTGTGCTGGAGCAGGTCTCACACTGTCCAATAACAATGAAGGGGTTGTGTTTGCATATCTACGCACTCACAATGGAGTGCACATCAACTTCAGTTTCTGACACTCCCCGTCATTATACAGTGAATATGTTGCCACTTGCCCTTTGCTGTGCTTGGCTTATCTTTGCATCATCCTGACTGAAAGAAGCATCCAGACGCACTTCAAGATCAAATCCTTTTGTAGATAAAGGCTACTTTATCTACACTCATCAAACTAAATGTGAATATCACAAGAATTGAATCACAAAAGGGCACGGCTGGAGACTAGGAGCAAGCAAATCTAAAATGATCAAGCTCATACGCATTTACAGAAGTGTAGGTGGTATTAGACTTTTGTATGTGAGTGATACAAGTGATTTAAAAGCTCTGGTATAGCTCTGGTTTGCTAAAGTTGTGATGTGGTCAACACAGAAAAACTAGTTAATTAGCTGTTCCCCTGGACTATCGACAGTGAATAGCTATGTCATCCATACTTCAAGAGAAGAGTGACAGAGTGAGTAATAGAAAGAAAGTAAAGAAAGTTTAAAAAAAAAAAGAAAATAAAGAAGAGAGATGGAAGAAGAAGAAATATAAAGGAGAGGGAGGGAGTAGGTAGTGACTACGAAGTGCAGTTTGTCATTCAGGTGCACACATGCTGCTCAGAACACACCCCATACCTGCCAGAAGTCCTGCAGAGAGGGAGGGGCACAACGAGGGAGGAGATGGGGATTGGGGAGAGGGAGGGAGACAGCAGGGGAGTAGAGGAGGAAGAGAGGAGGATTGGGGAGTTTGTGGGAAGAGATGGGGTTCAGTAGATGGAATGATTGGGGGAGGGAAAAAGTGGGAATTTCAGAGGTGGGGAGTTGGCGATGATGGTTATTCACGAGGAAGAGAGGAGAGAGAAAATGGAGGGATTACTTGTTATGTGAATGAGAGAGAATGGCTGATACAAATTAATCAACAGTTAACAATGGCTAGGTCAGGTCACATCAACATATGATTAAAGCAGCTAAAAGCATGCCCACATCATCATCAGGGTGGGGAGGAGAACTCACATGGTGTGAATTGACAACAGAGAAAAGATGCAGTTAAACAACTGGTTGAACAAACAGAGAAATCCCATTTAAAGGCTCCTCAAATAACTGTGTTTCCAGGAGAACAAAAATAAAACAAACAGGGTGAGTCAATATGAACAGTTGTTAAACAACCAGACAGGGCATGTGCAGTTTGCCTACATACAAACTGAACCTGGAACAAATTGTGTGAGCAGGAGACGGTGAGGAGGGGGATGAAGCCAGAGGTTTATAACACGTATACTTTTATCTTCCCCTCAACTATGGACAAACAGTATGCATGTGACAAATCTCTCAGTTGGCTGTGCTATTTTTAAATTAAATCACGTGAAGTGAGACATAGAGGTCTTTAAAGAGAGCTCTCATGTTACTCTCACATAAATACTCTACTTCTTTCAGCAGATAACCTTAGCCTTGATCATAGTTTACCCCAAGCTGAAACACTCCCCTCGCACTTCACCACACCCTCCATCAAATTCATGATTTACACACTACAGAGATTGCGCCACTATACTCGCCGCGGCCATTTCATTTAGGTCTGATTCATTGCAGTTTTAAAGTTCATGTGAACTCGATTTCATGGCTTCTTGGCAGGAAACTGTAATGGTTTGTTCCACCTCCAACTAGCTAGGGGTGCCCATCAAGCCAATGAGGAAGAGGCATGTGTCTCTGGGCAAAAAGAGTTGGATAGTGCTTGTGAGGGAGGGGAGCTCTCGGGTCGCTCTGAGCATGGCAGGAAAATCTCATGGGACATCCAAAGCTAAACTCAGTAACAGAGAAAACCATGTGTCCAGGGATTTGCTTGGCAAATAAAAGAAACACGAGGCCTGAAGATAGGAACAACATTTATATAAGCAGACAAGGGCCATAAATATACCCTGCTCAGTTTCCAAATTTCTTATACTTGTGTTTCTAAGAGTATGATTTTAATTTCTTTCCATCTTTTATGTTGCTGTAACCCCCCTGTCCATGGTTAGTATTTATTTATTTCTATGACAGTGAGTCATACATTGTTTCTGTTTTATGTATCCACTTTTTTACATTGCTGTCATTTTAGTCAATAAGATGAATGAATTTGCCAGTTTGATTTGTATTGTACCTTATAGAAGAAGATCATTATGCTATTATTTATCACTTATGAGAATCGAGACTCAGAAAAAGACAAATATAAAATAGACATATGCTACTTACTTATTACAAAACAATCTCAGGGAATTAAATTTTAGTTTTGTGTTGAAAAGCAAGGCTGACTTAGAAGTTAGTTAACTGTGAGTTGATACATGGTTTTTCTTGAGAGATAATATCTGACTTAAAAACCTCACATTCTAATCCCTAATTCCTTCAAGGTTTGCATATTTAAAATCCAAGGCTGGCAGTGATAAAACACTAAAATGAGTATTCTGGTATAATAAAGTATAATTTGCTTAATCGTATGAAAGTAAGATCAATATTTCTGAGTGACACATTTCTGACAAGATTCTTAAATGATAACTTTCTAGGTATGTGCATAAGGAAAATGCTGAAAAGTGAGAGCATTGTTCCTGGGACGGCATTGGTACAGTTGAGTTTTTCAAAAGACATTTTTACATTCAAGGTGCTATTGTTTTATCTCTATTGTATTCTTGTGGTGACGGAAGCTTCAGAAATCATCAACTAAACATCAACAAGAAGTAAATTATCTGCATACCCACACACCATAAAAGGTCATTGGTGAGTTCCATTTACTTTGGCATTAAAGCATATCTTAAAGATAAAACTCCCTACAGCTGAACTCCATCATTGCTAAACTGAACTTGTGTCCTTTTTACCACCCCAACACCCACTTCTTACCTTTCCATCATAGCGCTTCACAATGAACTGATCAAGGCCTAGACCTGAAAAAGAGAGAGACAAACAGATTAGAGGATAAATATAAAAAATGAAATGAGACACTAGTTAACCAGCAGGGGCATCAAGAATTATGCTCAGCATAAAACACTGAAAATAGTTGGTGTCATTGCTGAGCCTCTAGTTATCAGTGATGTGCTAGAGATTAATAATAGTCATAAACCATCTTTTCCCATTTTGCCAGGTACTTAACAGCATTGACATTGACTCTTCTAATGATCAGTTATTACTTTATTATTAATTTTCAATCAGGATTTAGGTCAGAAAGTCACAAATGTTGACTGCATAGAGTTGTCACAAGTCCATGTCAATATTTCATGCAAAGATAATCAATAATCACTATAACAAAGCACATATGGATTAGAACATTAGAGGTTTTCACTGTGGCCCGGTCGTTTTTATCATTAGTGTTAGCGCAGGTCAATTTCTTTGTCATGTCTTTCTATGCAAATGTCATGGATTTATTTTTGTAGCAAAATAAATAAATTCTGCTCCCTTCAAAAAAACATAAAGAAATGTGACTACTCACACTTTTCACTAAACTTAATCAAATATACTTTCCACAATGAATTTTGCCTCAAAAAGACAACCACAACTTAAGTAATTCAAACTAATAAACCTTGTTGAGGTGATTATTTTTTAAACTAATGTGAGACACAGCAGTTCTTATCTATTAAATGTATCTATAAAGTAAATCCACATGCATTTCTTCAGAGAAAATCATACAGGCTCTTGATCACACAGAAGCAGTAGCAGCACCAACTGACTGTCTTAATAGTTAGTGACAGTTGGAATATAATCTCATTAAGCCGAATGCTAATGAGTGAGTATCATAATTCTGTTTGAAATTGGCTTCATCAACATTACAGAAAACCTAATGACACCAAAGACCTCCACAAACAGCCCTACCGCCTTACTAAAATTATTCTTTAATGTTAATTACTACAATAAACAGCGATTCAGGGACTGGAACTTTGAGCTGAAACCAACAATTCCGAATATTGTGCCAATAAGGTCTGTGCCAATTCAAAGGCTGTTTCATATGAAAAAGGTATTCAACTTTTGGCCAGATATGACAGGAAACAGCTGGTCATCCCCAGCAGCCCTCCCTTTTTTTGCAATGTGTTATGAGAAGGGTAACATCCCAGTCATAAAATTCACATTTTAGCTTAACAAGTTCATAACCACTTGAAAGCAGCAATATAATATTAGTCCCTGTGAGGATGGACTTTTGGATTTTAAGCAACAAAAGGAACTGAGACCATCACTTTTTAAAACTGAACAGGGGGTCTGTGGGTTAACTCCACCTGGAGAAGGAAATGGCTGCCTGTGAAGTAAACTGCAGTTTCTCATCGCTTTTTCATCTGCTTAACTGTACCTTCTCTTATCCAACAGAGCTCAGCTCATCGATACTTTAATTGCAGTTTAGAAGGCGAAAGACAGGACAATGAAATGAAGAGCTGGGGACTCGTGAAGTAGGTCTGAGAATGGAAGGCCAATGGGGGCCAAGTCTTGAGCGTGGTTAACAGATGGAAGTGCTGAGGTGAGCAGGAACGGCAAGCGTGGATGTGACAGGCCCAGCTAAGTCCTTATTAAGTGCTAACAACGTTTCCTTGACTGTGAATCCTCATGATGAAACAGTTCTTACACACTGAGCATTCGACCAAAGGTCTGTGATAGAGGCGAATACACACTCACATAATAAAATGTGACATAAATCTAACTGGATTTTTGGTTTTGAATAACAAGATTGTAGCAGATAGAGTCAAGTGTGGAACTGAAACGTGTATGCCAAGTTAAGCTCTCTGCCATCCCAATCCTCCCATGGCTCAAGATCAAATATCTCTCACTGGCTTCATGTGTGACGCCCAAGGTCTGCTCTGTTTTGAAGCTGTTAATTGATACACCAACTGCTGTGTCGTGATAACCTCAACTCGCTGTGATCGGATAGTTTTGTCACCACCCTTAGCTTCATACTTGTGAACACAGTCAGAGGGATGGTTAAATCCTGAACTATGCTAAGTCCTAATCTGCGTGTGGTGAAAGTGGAGTCACATCTCAGTGAATGTTAAGAAATCAAAGAGCAAAGGTAGAAGGAAAGAGAAGAAACTCACTCTCAGGCTGCTTTTCATTTGGAGTTATGGAGCGTATGAAGTCCTGCGGCGTCATGTAAACCTCAGCATCTCCATGCTCCCCAATGACCTTCAGGGTGGCAAAATAGCGGAAAATCTTGTCCGGAGTCGAGTAAGCCCTTATCCTGTTCTCATACTCCATCACCTGCAAACCAGACAGGACGCACAATTAATCGAGCACAACTCTAATACACACAAAGGTGCAGAAAGTGACCAAATATTTCTACTTCACTGTACCAAAACAATGAAATCAAAGAACCAGCAATATTTCAATCCTGTGAGCAGCAAGGAAAATCACCTGAGTGAGATTTAAGATAGAATACTTCCAACTTTTTGGGAAATACAAAAACACATTTTTCAGCCTTGTTACTCATGATCCATGTCAGTGTTTATTTTACAATGCCTTTCAGCAGTAAGTTTCAGATAGATGTAGCATAACTGGGAAACTGACAGTCTGTCAAGTGGTTATTTTATGTGATGCTGAATGATTGTGTTGTGTAACCTAAACAAACTCCCTATGGAAAAGTAAAAATAATTTTGCAGCTTCAACTTTTTGAGTTGATGCACCCACTTTGGTTGTAAACAGAATGAATGAGACAGACATACAGACTGATCAAACTAGATTTTCTTCACGAGTTTGTAACTATGATTAAGTGCTTTTCCTGCTCTTTACGGAAATATCGACGAATGTGTTCAATAAAATAAGCAACTATCTGTGTATCGACGGGAAGTTACAGAACAGTCATGTGGAAACGTGTACATCATGAGTGACACACTGTCATCTCTCTCTAGCGCTCATCTCCTGAGATTTACAGGCTTCTAAACTCAGCATCACCCATAGTGATTGAGACTGAAGTCTGTTCTTTTGACCTTAAAGCCTTTTATGCTCTCTCGCTCTCTTTCCATTAAAAAAATTGCATTTACACAACTGTATGTGTGGGGGGGATGCCTACTTCAAGACAGGTCAGTTAGTTATTCGTCTGACACAAGAGTGGTAAATCAGTTTACAAGTAAGGAGGTGGAAGCACTGAATTTTAAAACACACAGAGGGAATATTCACCTATAACTATATTGGATTCTGAAAATTGCAGCCACAAAAACATACATGAACCAAAAACTGAAAGTAAACACTCTAAAAACCTGCTAATCTTTAATGTTTCAGTACTTTCCACTACATTTATACAGGACTCACACTGAAACATTGTTCATTCACTTAAAAGTGGATGACGTCATGCATGGCTAAACTACATGGTGGTTCCATTGCATGGCGCTGTTTGTGCTGCATTTGGCAAAAGAGCTCAGTTTTTCATGCAGCAACTGAGGCAACAGCCAATCTGATTGATAGTTGATAGTTTAAACTAACACTAAAGCACAAGCGCTATCCAATCAAATCAAAGGAATGCGAAAGAGGCAGCACACCCACCGCGACGTGTTAACGCCACATGTTTGTGTGAGTCAGCATTACTGTAAACTTCTATCAAATCTTGAACATTTGGATGGCAATACCAGTCTGAAGTATGGGTGCACAAGCACGCTGAGGCTCTATCTTTTATGTAGTGAGTGCGCTGGCATAAACAATCTATTTTTACCAACACACCACTGAACCCTATGTTGCTGTGAGCCGCTAAAACAGTTTGCTCCCTAGACATACAGTATGCTTTCAGCGCTCTATGGCAGCTGCAGAAGCAAGAGTGATCGCACAATTTAAACATCTGCATCCATTTGTAAGACTTACCATTGCATCATGTTGTTTGAAAAAAAAAAAAGCATCTAATTTCCAATGCCCTCCTTTCCTTCTCCAACAACAATATGCAGAATAATAAACCATGTTGTGAAAAAAATTGGCATAATTTTCAAAACCCTTTGTTTCCTCTGCTTGTCCTCTGTCATCTGCGGCCTAATTAAAAGCAATAAAATCTTATGGGTGGTACATTTCTGTTATTTATGAAAGCAGAAACATGAGCTGATTACAATTGTGTATCTTCGTAAAATATTCTGTCAAAATATACTGATGTGTGCATATTCAGCATTGATTAGGAGGGTGTTAAAACACCATTCTGGATGTGAATTAAATAGGGGAGTGTCTAAATGGCAGGATGTTTACTTTCTATTGATTACCTTGCGGTCACGGAATCCAGAGCGTGGCTTCTTTTTTTTCCCCTCTGCCCCTTCATCCTTCACTTCCTTATCTCCGCTGCTGGCCTCAACCGATTTCTCAGACTCCGTCTCTGAGTCCGTATCCCTCATAAAATCAGCTTCCTCTCCTCCTGGTTGCTCAGAGTGTCGAACGGAAGACCCAGCATCTGCATAAGCTCTTTTTTTTTTTAAAGAAAAAGATTAGACAAAGATTTATACCTGAGGAATAGTTTGATACTGACTGTCAAGAAGGTTAAGTATAACAATGTCTCTGTGTTTTGCAGTGGTACCAAGTAGAACAGGGGAAGTAGGTAGCTGACTCAGATTTTTTATGTATTTGTGTGCTGTGGGTATGATGCTAAGCAGAGATAAAAGAAGAGGAATGAGAGAGATTATCTGCTGCACTGCATTTTGCTTGTCTGTGCAATACGCAGAGGTTTACCATGCCAAACTCCAACTTGACTATTTTTCTGGCCAAATTGGAAATTGGAATAATAATAATAAATAGCTGGGTCTGTCTTAAGCAGGCTGAATAATTCAGTTTAATGAGACACACGGAGAATGAAGCCTGGGGTGAAGGCCTGGAACAGTCTTGTCCCATCAGTCTCAAATGCCCTGAGGTACCATCCATCACTCTGCCTACTGCAGCACAGTCACTGTGTCCCCATAGAGCTCTCAAGTCAACACCCTCTCTACCATTTTGCCTTAACTAAACACCAGCCTTCTTAGTAATGGATAGTCATAAAAACAATGTGACACCCCTGGGTGGTGGCTTGGGTGTCATCAGAAATGCAGGTAAGCAACTTCAATGGGCGGTTTCACTAACAATTTTGTAACGTTGGGGAATCAAATCTGGCATGTGCTCTAGAGTCGTACTAATGTTAAAGACTGCACTGCAAACAACTGCTAGTTAACCTACCTAATACATTGCACTCAAAAGAGTGGAGTGTATAATGCAAAAAAATTCAGGTAAAAAGCTATGTGAGAAATGAAAACAGTTATAGGACATTTTTGCAAGGAACACTGTATTTTAAGGTGGAGAAAAACTGAAGGTTTACTGGCAAGCCAGAGGCAATCAAAGACAGTCTTTTCCCATTAATTACCTCTGCTGCGCTGGCCAACCACAGTCTAATTTGTCACGCTTCCATTATAAATCTGAATTTTCCTCCAGAAAATATGAAAAAAATCTCCATGTTTTGCTTCATCAACCCTCTCCCTCTTTTTCTCAAACACATTGACTTGTCATTGACTGGGACAAATCCTGCCGCCTCGATGGGCCAGGGGATCGCCAAAAAATCCATTATGTTTTTATTGTCCTCTGCGGACAGACGGAGCTCAGCATAACATCAGTACCTTCTGCTTTAACTGTGAATGTTCATGTGATGGAAATAGAGCTCTCAACTGGCAAGCAGACCTCTGCATAACACCTGCCCTCTACGTGTACCTGTCATTTGGATGTGCATTAGAGCGCACTGCATGCTTTTTCACTGGGCAATCCTCCATGATCAACCTTCATAAAATGCTCGTATTGACAGAGATCGTTTAATATATGAGAGTGGACGCAGCCTCACACGTCAATGAAGCGGAGCTGCCATATAAGGGAACTACAAGGGTTCATCGTCTTCCCCAAGGACACTTCCGAGATGAAGACATAAGAAGTCATGGATTGAACCGCCCCAACCCAACATTCTGTGTGTGTTCTTATGTTTGCAAACCAGATTTGAACCAGAACTGAATAAATGATAAATAATGTAAAGTAGGTGTCAGAAAGTTACAATTATTTTCTGAACAGTGTAGAAGTAGAAGTGCACAAATGTAGTCATGGTATAAGACCTACCTTTTCCAAAGCAGCCCAGCGCTAGCAGACACACCAGTGACCCCAGCCAGGGCTGCCAGCATCAGCCTCCTCTGGGCAGGCCTTCGCACTGCCCCACTGTGGTAACGTCGGGACAACTGCGTTAGCCCCACTGAAACTGCGGACAACACCCGCAAGCGGAACATCCTGCAATGAAAAGAATTGAGATGTGGTGAGACATAAAACTGACACCCTATGAAATTAGAAACACTCCAGGTTATTTTCTTTAATTTCTGAAACATGGAGGGTTGTGGCCCGGATAAACAAGTGTTTGATAAAAATTGTCAATACCAACTTTTAATGATAGGTGCTTGAAATGTTCAGGGTTGTATTTCCCTGTTAAATGGTTGACCTGCAGTTGCATATTTGGTTATATATTGCTTGCTGGAAATTGTATTTAAAAATCATTTTAGGATTTGAAGCCCAAAACACCCTAAAACTGAACCACATATCTTTTCAACAGGCTTTAGTTGTTTGTTTATTTCTTTTTGTGGCATTGCTTTTGTGTACACAGCTGTGTGCTTTTGTCCCCCCCCTCCCTTACCTTATTCTGTTAATTAGCTGATCATTGTCTAACACTGTTTTCACCTGTTCCTCATTGTGTTTAACCAATGATGTTATCCCTGGTTGGTTCTCACTGTGAACTGAAGCCTTTGTGTGTGACCTGTCCCTGTGCCACCAGTGGTCTGTGTTAATGAACAGAATAAGGTAAAAGGGTGGAAACAGAGGAACAAGCTCAGGAGGACAGGCTGTGACCCAACTTGGCTGTCAGAGAGGAAATACTCATCCTGGCTCTACAACTACTGAGATTGGAAAGATTAGTTGGAAAAGCTAGAAAGAGGCACACACCAGAACTTAATTGTAACCAGGGTGTTGCTTAATTCATCAGTGTCACTGGAAGACGATTAACAATTAAGCAAAGGGGGCTACTGGTGTGCATGCGTGGCTCATGTATGTGCACTTTTAAAACCGCGGGACGGAGGAGTTAACCTCATAGGCATGAAGCTGCTACCTGTCATTATGCTATCAACAATCCAGAAACTGAGACAAAATATGTCATAGTCTATGGGTGAGTGTTCAGCAGGATCTTGAGATAGCCTGGTCCTAAAACACTGGCACAAAAGACTACACACACCAGAGAAACAAACACATATAGAACATGAGGACAGTCTGTCGGTGGTTGGTGTATACAGCTGTATAATAAAGTAGCAAACAACAAGATCAATGACCCATATTAGTACATAGAATGAGGCCATAATTACAGAATCATTTCTCAAATGTATCACCGAGCGAATTCGCCGATTTCTGCTTGAAATGTTTTTAGAGGTTTTATGTTCAACTGGAAAGATTTGTTTCATCTCTGCCCCAACAATGACACAAACACATATGCCAGACAAGCCGAAATCATACACAAGAGGCAGAGGGACAAACACAAAACACAGATTAATTTTTCTTGATCACTTTGGCTCAGAGCTGCCAGCTGAGGTCCGCCAAATTTTGTATGTGTAATTAATGTCCGCCTGGAGCTTTGAAATATGCTTATTGAGTTTAAACGAATCATTTTCAAAGTGAGAGTTACCTATGATCTGTAAAATCCCTGGCTGGGGGCCTGGAGCTTGTACAGAAAATATTTTTACAGCTGAGGCATACAAACACTTTTTTTTGTAAAGGAACAGTCAAATAAAAATCGTATCACTGAGTCCTACAAAAGAATATGTTAACTCCTACATCAACGTCAGCCAAGTAGGACTTGAGTTTAAATACAATGCTGCCCTCCTGATAGAATAAGGCATGGGATTTTATTTAACATATGGATGTCTCAAGCTGTTCTATTTCACACATTCAGTTATTTTAATCGAGTGTCAATTGAACCAAGATTTCACCTGGTACCTAGTAAATCAATATCTGGTTCTGTCAATATCCTCCACCTTACAGATAAACTGTATTTCAGTTGTGTGGATTATGTCATCTAAAAAAAGAGTACCACCTCAACAGCCATGGGCACTAGAAATGATCAGTCATGTCTTCAGTTCAGACTTGTAATGCATAATTCTCAAATAACAGTAAACTTGGCAGTTTCAAGAAGCTAAATTCTGCATTTCCTCTGTTGTTCAGGGATGTTTTCGGCCTCTGAGCGATAAACATAAACAGAGAGAAGGGATTATTGTCAGAAGTAGCAGAAGCACCGAAGAAGAAGTTTTTATGTATACCTCTTACCCTCAGTGTCTCATGAAAACAACAGTCACCAATTTGGAAATTTAAACCATTTTCAGACATGAACCTCGGAAAATTGGGCACAAACTTTGCCTTTTGCATATCTAGAACACAGCAGGGGATTCCCACAGACGTGTTCAAAAGACAATCTCCAGAGCTATCAAGTGAGGGGGGGGCATTTACTCAGAAATTCTACAGCAACATCATCTGAAACTTGACATGCTTGTCAGAAACTAGAGTGAGGTGAAATATCTGTGTCACCTCTCAATGATTTTTTTTCATAAATATTTTAAAAGAGCAAGTTATGAGTGTCATAAAGAAAAAATTGCCAACTTTCCCGTCACTTTGCTCATTATTTCTACAGTAAAATCACTTGTAACTTGACATTCAGATGGTGGGAGTCACCATGAACAAGAGTGAGGTGAAATATCTGTCACCTCTCAAGGATATATAAGAAAAAAAAAACATATTTCATATGACATGTTATGAGTGTCATAATGAAAATTCACATACTTTACCTATAATTTTCACAAAAAACATATTGACATATAATAATTCATTATACTTTTCTTGTGTGGACAACAAATCAATCGTCCATAAAAGTGCCATTGAACTTTCAACGTTTGTTTTTGTCTTTTTTCCGCTCCAATCGATACCCAGGGTTTAGAGTAGAATAAATATACAAAATAATATAGCAGAGGTTACCTCAACACAAACCAGTCAGACAATAATCAAGCTTTTATTCTTCCAATGTCCACTCATACATCTGACCATACAACATTAAAAAAGGAGCGTGCCGTGGAAAATGTTTGTAAGTCAGAAAAATAATGTTGAAAAGGGAAAAAAAGAAACATAATGTTTATGATGCGGATGTTATGATGGACATGATGGACATGATGCACAAGGACCACAATGTTTTGTTTTTAGCCCCAGGTTAAGCTAACTGACAGCTGACTTCTGTAAAACAACGTCTGTAGTTAGCTGCCTGCTAACCAACATCAGCCCACATGTTTTCACCGTCAGTCCTCAGCATGTATAACTTGTTTTCATGATGTGACGGACTTAACTATCGAGTCCAGCCGTCACAGTATAGCTTCGTGGGGCAGCTAACGCCAGCTAGCCAGCAAGCTAACAGTGGACGTCAGGATTAAATGACAACTGTTAGCTCCCGGTTAGCTGCTACATATCGACGACATGCTACTATGTTAGCAAAGAAGAGACGTGGTAACTCACATTAATGGCAACTTGGACGCCAGTCAGTCCAAACGTGTCGCTGTGTCTTCTGCGTTGGACGGTCCGTCTGCAGAGATGGAGCCGCAGACAGCAGTTCCGTGTTCAGCAGCGGGGCGGGGCAACATCTGGGACCCACGCCCCGCGCTGGTCAGCCGTGGTCACCGTCCCTCCCTCTGCCGCTGGAGATGAAACTTTATGTACAGTCTACGGGATTAAATGAGCAGTGGAGCTTTGTTTTCCACATCCGTCACCACTTATAAGAGATAAATGCCTTAAATGAATCATCACCGAAAGATTAAACATCTGTATATGGAGAAAATCTGTCTAAACCAGTCCACTCCGGTATTATTTACTGTTACTAACTTAGTTAGAATAAAAATAGAAAAAAAAAAGTAACTCACACACAAGACAAAAGTTAGAAAGCACCCTTACATTATTTCCAAATGCTGTCTTCTTTATATTTATTGCAGGGTTTTTTGTGCATATCAAATAGGATAAGTACCCTCTGACTAAATATAAATAAACTAATAAAAGGATCTCATATAAAAATTGGGGCCCAAACTTACACCATTGTATTCATTTTAGTCAAAAATGATAATTAACCCCAAAAAATGTACTATATGATTAAGTTTACAGGCTGATTTTGGCTCCTGAGTGAAGGTTGTGGTTTTATACTGTTCTTTGTGAGCAGAGAATGAAAACACAAAACATTTTAACAATCTGAGATCATTCAATTATTTGTTGTTGAGTTTCAAGTTTTTATTTTTTACATGCAGTTTACACAGGGTCAACAGTACAATGAAAGGTCAGACAAGAAGAAACCGGTCAGCTCAGCTGTGCAATAGTAAAATAAAAATAAAATCAAAGTTGAAGGAGCTTACTATTAAAAAAAAGACAAATACAATACTATATGATACTAAGACATAATACATTCAAAGGCACACATTCTTCTTTGCTAATATATCACTGTGTTTACACAATGGATAAGATGGATTGGACAATGGATTGATATACATTGTATACTGCAGCTTTGCTGTTTTGCAATTGAAAAATAATTATGTTGCAATGAATACTGATATTTTTTGCCCTGCTCTATGTTTAATTACTTTCTGCATATTTTGAGATCTCATTGCTTTGACTACAGCTTTGGCAATTCTCTTTCTGATTAAGAAAACACTGAGTTTAATAACATGACAGAATTAAACTGGGAAGTAGGGAGTCCCTGCTGTCAGTCTTGCATGCCTTGACAGAGCTCCAGCCCAAAAAAATGTATCAGAATAAATTGTCTCTCCGCAGTGTGCCAGTTATAATTGTTGTCGTGAATACATTTGCTGGACTGAATGCATTATGTAAAAAGGAAAAGCTGCTGAGCTGCTGAGCTGGCTGGGGATGTGTCAATATAGGGATTTGTCACATCCTGTGAAAGTGCAGGTCAGATTTCAGCTTTATGTGACTGTACATCGATGTTAATGTGGTTATGAATAAAGTGAAGATAGACTGCTCGACAATGCAACACAGCACTGTACATTCAGTATAAACAGCAGTTAGTTCAAAAGGGACCATGTTCCCCCTCTATGCATGGTTTATTCAATTTATAGATTTGATGTTTATTTCCTGCACCTATGATACTTAAACTCATATTCATGAACTTAAAAACAGCAAAACAAGCTCTGTGACAAGGCCTCTCAAAAAATTGTGGCTTCATGATTTTAGATTAAGAGCCAATGACAGGAAATATTTAAAAAATCAAAGTTGCCACTTTGAGGTTTTAATGTCATTGTTCAGACCAAATCTGATATAATTAACTCTAATAACTCGCGACAAAGTGAAAAGACTGGAGACACATATTGTTAATAACAATAATAATAATAATAATAATAATCATCATCTATATGGCACATTTCAAAAACATTTTTACAAAGAACTCCACAGATATAAAAACAGAACATACATGCAGTGCAATTACTAATTTTAACACATTTTTCAAATTACTTCAAGGCAATTGGTAGCAATAAAACAAAATAAATACAATTATACCAAAAATATTAGCATTTATGTGGTCGCAAAGTAAGAGTTTGATTCTTTGCTCTCATTCTATATGGGGCTCCTGTGTGTATTGTGTTGCTTTGAAAGATGTTTACAAAGACACATTATTTCTATTGTCAGCCCTCTGCGGTAGATTAACTCATGTAAAACTACAGATTGTGAAAATACCAATCCTGCGTTATACATGCAACAGATCATTAAATTATTTTAAAACTTAGTTCGGTGTGTGATGTATAATACAGGGATATTTCACCATGTTAAAAAAGAGTCATAAAATATAAATTGATGCAAATGGCTGCAAATGTTTTTCCCTTTGGGATTCAAGAGATATTCGGGGGATATTATTTAATTCATTTAGAAAACACTTCCCTGACAAGTATTCAGGATCAGAATCTGGGCATTCCGAGCATCTGGGTATTCTGTCAATATATTGATAATCAATAACACTATTACAATACTAAAGAAAGCTGTCGTAAGAAAGGTCAGGGGGTCACAGACTGTTCTCTGAGAGCTTTTTTGTTGACAGTTTGTCGTTGTTTCATGTAGCTGAGTCACAGGAGTTAATGTTTTCAGTGAAGTTTAATCGAAGGTGCCACTTTCATACCAAACACATACAACTAATACCTCTGATTACCTTCTCTATTAGAAATTATTATCTATACTAATCTCTTGGTCTTTTCCAATCATATTTTTTTTAATAAGGAACACCATTTAACTGTGCCTGCTGCCTCCAGCACAGGGTTCATTAATGCAAGCAATTTATCACAAGCACCTCACAATATGAGATTCCCACTATTGAAATTATATATTGAATTTGAATAGCTCCAAGACAATAGTTACATCAGCATTGGCTACGTGTCCACAGTGATAGTGGAAATGTATCTGTTGCAAACAGGTTTTTCTCAATCACAAACACCATGTCAGTCTTTTCTTGTTCTCATACACGTTTTAAGATTTTGCATGTCCAATAGTTGCGTAAATTTGGAGCCTGGAACAAATCAGCCTCTTAATACCCAGATGTCTTTAAGTACATGCTTCAATAAGACACAACATGCAAATGACACATGTAAAATACATGTACAAGTACACCATCTCACATAGTTGGGAAGTAATAGCTGTTAAATAGCTCATAACCAGAGTGTTTTTAGAACTGTAACTGTGTCTGAGGTCATGGTGTAGAGTTTTGGGTCCTGGCCCATTAACCCTCAAGGATCAGCTAATTGCAGCAGTGTCGTGCTTGAAACACATCACATGCCTTGTTTCTACTCACGTTTCTACTTTCTAACTTCAGCTCTGATCAGTCTGACAGACTCAGTGTTTAAGATTAGGCTTGCAAGTCAAATGTTTACTTTGTAGACTTTGTGTTGAAATGTGACAATAATCCATACAACAACACACAGTGATTGACGCAAACCTACTATTGCAGCAGTGCAAAGGTGGAGCCGGAGATAAGAGGGGCCTGCAGAAGAGCCTCCTCAGTGCACAACAGTAATGCCACTGCTGTGACTTGTGTTTGGTTCATGACAGCGTCTCATGGCTGAGTGTTCCATAGAGAACACAAATCCATTGGGAGAGTTTTGGGCCTTACAGCAACAGCAGCAGTTTTTGTGCTTGCAGCTGAACTGCTGTGTAGAATGAAAACTTTGGTGAAATTTGACCCACATGTACCTTACTATATAATGGTGACAGATGGCTCAGGTGAAGACCTGCAGACAAAAGCAGGCTCTGGTTTCAGCGGTCATATTGCTCTGTGTTGTCTGTGAGCCTTCATGTGTATGAGTAAGCACGAAAAGAAAAGAGCCGTTTGCTGCCTTAATAGGTTTGTGTTTGCAATATGTAGCACCTGATTGGTGGTGTGATGAAATAGACGATACACACCCACGCATGCTTGTTTTCAGCATGCCCAGTTTGGGAGGGGATCTTGAATGCTCCTATGTGACGTTCCAGTCATGCATTGACACGCAGACACAAACACACACCTACGCACACAGGCAAGCGTACACGCCTTTTTTTGTGTTCTGCTCAATTGATCCATCTCTGACCTTGACATTTGCATTCAGAGGGTTTTTAAAAGCAGTTGTGTCATTATTAAAATAGTGTTTATTTTTTAAAGTTGGCAGACAATTGTCAAAATAGACTAGTAAGCAGAGATTATATTGGAATTGCATGAATCTTAATTTCCCCTGAAATTAAAGGTCCAGTGTGTAAGACTTGGGTGAAAGGGAACTATTGGAACTACAGTAGTTCAAACAGAACAAACTAAAAACCTTTCGGTTTTTATGACAGCTGAAGTCTACCACAGGTTCTTTTCATGTTTGGAAGGGGAGGGTGAGGTGAGGGGAATTCAGCTGCAACATTAGATATTAGATATCACAAAATCTACACACTGTACCTTTAAGTTCAAACATTGAATCAAACATTGGATATATTTAAGGACTCATTTAAGAGTAGTGGTGTCACTTCTACTTGAACTTGTTATCTTATGTGTACTGCTTTCAGCCATTTTAATGGTGTGAGCTTGCTGATTTAATCTTTTATAATAAAAAGTTATGCATTTGCTATTACATGGATAGATGTTTTGGTCATTTTGTGCAATTATTTTCATTTTGAGTCCAAGGTAATATAATGAATAGATAGTGAGTAGATAAGATAAATCCAGTTAGTGTTATGACCTAGTATGCTACAGCTTTCATTATCACTCAGATATTGAGGTCTCACGTACATTGGTAAAAGTATTGGCAATTACATTTTGTTAGCCTCTCTTTATGAACTGAATTACTCTGATTAAGTCATTGATTTCACTCTACCACAGCTTGCTTTGTTTACAGTGCCAACGCACCCCGGATAGATGACATGTTCCATTTACCCACAGTACAGTTACAATGAGAGTGTAAAGGTTTATGTGAGCAGGTGCTCGGTAGTATTTGGCATCACACTAAAGATTCCCTTTGTGAATCAATGCACACTCGAGGCCCTGAGCAGGTCCTTGTCCATGGCTGAGAATTTGCATTTAAATTGCATTGCCCACGCAGCCAGATGCACCGCACCTGAAGAAGTACAGAAGGAGCCGAGATGAGTTGTAGTGATGACACATTACCACTGGATTTCACAAACAAACAGCAGACAATCTACAACAGCAAAACTAATAAATCTCTGTTTGAATATTTTACCCATGTTCATCTTTTTCTTGTTTTCTAAAGTTCGAGCTATAATATGAAGCTGAATTACAACAATAAAAGTTGCCTGGTTTCACCCTTGACAAATACAGGTGTTGCAAACTGTATCATATGACAGGATTGGTCAAAGATTACAGAAAACCTGTTAAATTCCACAGAGGGGAGTCTCCTTGACATTCATTGACCAAACAGGCCCATTACCACACCTCTTACCTACATTTGCACTGGTTGACTGAATCTGGTTGAAGCTAAACACCTCATACTTGACTTGTTTGCCCTTATGTTCTGACATTTAGGGACAGAAACACTGTCAAATGCTTGTACATTAAAGGTCCAGTGTGTACGATTTAGGTGAAAGGGATCTATTGGCAGAAATTGGTTATAAAATAATCCTAGTGATCTTTTCACAAGTGTGTTTCATCTAAATTGTAGAAATTGTTGTTTTCTTTACCCTAGAATGGGGCCTTTATATTTAAATACTTTTTATTTACATCGGGAGCAGGTCCTCTCTATGGAGGTCGTCATGTTTTTTACTGTAGCCCAGACTGGACAAACTAAAGATCTTTTGAGTTTTTATGACAACTGAAGTCTACCACAGGTTCATCTTTCATATTTGGAAGGGGAGGGCGAGGTCAGGTGTATTCAGCTGCAACATGAAACTTCACAACTAGATGTCACTAAATTGTTCACACTGAATCTTTAAGATGTAGCCCAAGCAGTTTAAAAGTCGTTGAAGATCAGTTCAGTTTGATTTGATACTGTGGGTATTTTGGGATGTAGTCACACGAGCAACTGAAGGACAAAGCTAATATTAGACATAGTTATAGAGGAATGAATGGAGGCAGGGAGCAGGCAAACATCAGTTAGCCCTGTCTTATCATGTCTGTCTTTTTCAAATAAAGGTGAAGATCTTTGAGGTGATGTCAGCTCTTCACTAGTGCAAAAGTTTGCTATAGTGATAGCTGAGCAAGTCAGGAGACAGCTGCAGACAGGTATGAACACTATGTGGCTGTGTCTCAGCACGGTTGTCCACTGACCAGAAGGCTGGTTGACAGTGGTATTTAAAGCTTGTTCAGCACTTTGGCCAACTGTGGTTGTTTAAAACATGCTACAACTTTATACAACAATACAACTTTAGTGGACTTGACCTGATCCATATCACTTCAGGCAAGATGCTGGACCCAGAATCGGCCATGGTGTTTGATATATTTGTCCCTACCAGTATTGCACTGCTGAATACCACAGCACTTTACTGTTATATAATGTAGAATTATTTGGTGTGATGTGTATTGGTCTATGATCATATTACAAATCGATTTAACTTTCTATCTTGCCATGTTTGTATTGTCAATAAGTGTAACACTTGTTTTTCTTAAATACACAGGATTTATATGTTTTTAATTTTTAGCAGTAATGTTATGCACCAACAGTAACACAATACAGAGTTTTTAGTGTTGGATTAACATCCTGTATTCCATTATGACAGACAGGGAAACTGGAAACTGTGAATTTGGTCTCATGTGTATCGCAGTTTTATCTCACATATTCAGCACATTAGCATTTCTTTATCTTACAGTATTCTTCCACTGATATGATGTCAGCAGAGAGACTATAGAGGAGATAATGTTCAGAAAAGAAGCTTTGATTCAATGTGTCTTCATCTAATTTCTACCAAAGTAAAATGTAGTAATGCAGCAATGTCCTGCCACAGCACATCTGCACACATCTGGAATTAGATGCCACTTTTTGTGACCTTCAATAGAGCAAGTGAGTGTAGTGAGGTGTGTTAATAAGTCAAACGCAGTCTGTGCATGTGTTTGCTTTGTGGGAACACACAAGTATTTTTTCTCTGTGCAAACTGGTGCAACACTGGGCATGTGTATAAGCTATAGTCCAGCCCTAGAAAACCCGCCCACCACCCCCCCCTTCTTCCTTTCGATGTGTCTAGGTCGGCCTGCAGCAGTCTTGTCCCCGGCGAGTGTTTCACTACAGAGATGGCAGCGAAAGTGTGTAGGTCGGTGCTCCTGTTGTCCCGAAGCAGCGGAGCGACGGCCGGTAGCCTCCCCGCACTTGTCTCGTCACAGCGGCGACATCAGCACATACGACCGGTAAGTCCCAGGACGGTGCGCGCTCCGCCGACTACCAGGGCAAGAGAGGTTTGGGAGACCGGGAGGGAAGGAGAGGGAGAAAGCGGCGCTGCTCGCGGCGGCTGGGCTGGGCTGGCTATGGAAGTAAAGCTAACTAGCCTCAAGGTTTCTCTCCGTTCATGTGTTTCATGAAAGGTGAAGCACCGGGATGAGTCATGAGACCATCCTGGTGCCGTGTGATTGTGTTAATCAACAGCGGGACACGGAGCTTTCACACGGGTAATGCAGTTTTTCTCCAGTGGAGAGCTTCCTGGAGCTAATCAACACACCACTGGCGGTGCCCTGCCTCGTACAGTAACCAGCCTCCAGACACAGCTCTGCCCCACATCCCATGTTCCCCGCCGCGTCCTTCAACTTTGCAGGGGTATTAATCCAGCCCCTGTCATCCCCATTGTTGTGGGTTCATTTGAATGCGATCCCACTGTAGGTGATGGGACTATTTCTGCAGCAGATGTTGGGGTTTGAGGTTGGATCACAGACAGATGTGTGTCTGATTTTTTTTCTGTGCTGTTACAATAAGGATGTTTGGTGTGAAGATAGGCTTTTATTTTTTTGGGGTGCTGCAGGATGGTTTGGTTGCCAGTCCATGACCAATGGTTCCCCTCTCTCTCTTCTACACAGTGTGTGAACTGCAGCGTGTGTGTGTGTGTGTGTGTGTGTGTGTGTGTGGTGCAGCAGCAGCAGCAACTCCGAATAATGAATGTCTACCCAGCAGAGCTCCAGAGGAAAACTACAGTTGTGCTTGTGTGAGAGCAGGAGAGGGACACACACACACACACACAAGCCCTGTAACATGGAAAACCCACACTTGGATGATGTCAGACTCTCCAGTCAGCCTGTCTTTATGCTCCCCGCCCTGTGGGTGTTTCCCCATTCAGCAGGGGGGGGGGGGGGGGGGGGGGGGGGGACCTGGGTTTTCCTGCAAGCTAATTCAGTTACTTTACACACAGCCACTGTAGCGATAGACGCAGCCTACAAAAAATGGCCCACAACCACAGCAAGGTAATTGGGTTTTACAGAACTGTCACTACGGCGCATTGGTGGTAGCACACGTCATTCCCGCCCCTGTGACCCACTCCCTCGGCAGAGTAAACTCTCAGCCCAAGCACAGGATGGACCTGAATACGAAAGAATGAGGAAGTCATTGCAGCCCAGGACAGAGCGATCCATTCGTTGTAGCAAGGAACATCACTGTGATAGTTTTTGGTCTCCTTTTGTCAACAGGGCTCACTTCTCTTTATGTATTTCTTTTTCTTGCTCTCTGTTTTTTCTTATGTTTGCCTTTTTTTCCTCTTTCTCTTGTTGTTCTTTTCCTACCCCTCCCTTGAACAAACACATGCGCATGCTTGCAACAGGCCTTGTGAAACCATGTGAGGCTTCTCCTTTCTGTGTAACAGGCTGGTCTGGATGTTAAGAAGCTGTCAAAATAGACACACAGTCTGGCGCCCCGTTGCTGTTGCCCACTGTGGACTATTACAACAGAACACATTTACCCCTGAGGAGAGGAAATGTTCTCCCCTTCTCTAAAATAACTTGGCCTATTTAAACCTTAAGTGATTTAACAGGGTGAGCTGTATCACTGCAGAGTTGGCCCTAATAGGCTTTCATTTCAGTCTGCTCAAGTTGTAGTTTTGTTTGCCTGTTGTATTGTGTCTCCGTCTGTCAGCTTTGCTGCTGCAGCTCCTGAACGCGGGTCTGTTACTGTGTGACAGTCATACCTCTATATTCATTTGTGAGACTTTCACTGCAGTGGGGGATATCTGTTTCTAGACGTGTGCCTATAAAGCTGCAGTAGGGAACGTGCCATGAGTTTCCACTAAGCATTTTGTGTCTGTTAGTGGGACATGTTTGCCAAAAAGCAGAATTATGCCAGTTTCAAGCAGTAAGCAGCTCAGACTCAGTGCTGCTTCTTTAACAAGGTGCAGTCCTGATGGGTTGTCTTCTCAGGTATGCAGAACAGACAGGGGGTTCCAGAGGCTTGCGTTTAACCTGCATCAGATAACTGTTGAGTCAGCCGTCATATTTAAATGATGCTGTCTGAAAGTGTGGCAGAAGAGTTGAGTCATTGCAAATGAAAAATTGCTCTAAAAGCACAGAGTCTCATGGTGAACCTGGGAGTAAAATGGAGATCGAATCACGTTTCGTTTACTTATTTGTTTCCATTTAAGCTGACGTGTTCATTAAAGCTGAGCAGTTGGTGGCTTTTGTCTTTGGGGCCACGAGTTCAAAGCCCACTCCTTGCTTAAAATCCAATCAGTGTAGGACTAAACTAATTTATCCCTGCTGCTTTGACGGGCTCACCGCTGAAGTTATCCGGCTTAGTGTGATAAGAGAGTAAATGTGTGCTTGTGGCTTTTGTCTGCTAAAGGTGATAAGATGGTTGACTGATTGATAAACCTGTCCACACAGGCACGCTCATCAATAAAATCCTGCCCTAATATGAGCAAAATGGTTTCTGACTCCATTTATGATCTCACATTTACATGTATGTAAATAGGTGTATTGTATGGAGGATAACACATTCAACAATAAATGATGAATGGAGGGTTTTATTAGCTGTCATTTATGCAGTTTAGCCTCATCAACGATTGCTTTGTTCTCACTGGAGCCTGATGATTGACAGGCTTGCCTCCTGTATGGAAAATAATTTATGGCATTTCAATACTGATATTAGAGGTCTCTAATGGTGACCTGCATATCTACCCCCAGATTTTATCGTACATTGTCTGGTACCTTAAGTGAAGAGAAATCTTAATAATCTTTGTCAGTGCGGCTGTATTGTTCCATCTTTTCAATGATATTGGATTACTGTCTGTACACAGGCAATTTTAATGGACACAAAGTGCAATCTAGAGGGTTTTCTTTAGTGGTTAAGACAATTGATTTGAGTATTCCTGCAGTGTTTCGTATGCTCCTGGTAGACTATATGATGTGAAGTGATATGATAGAATTTCAGTCAGTCAAAGGTAAAGTTACAAAAATGATTGATTTGTAAGCCTGTATATTCCATTCAGTCCATATAGCATGCCATGTTACTGCTTTTTATATGCTTACACTTTCCACATTAGTATACAATATTGACTACTTTGGGTACAGCGGACGTTAAAGGCCTGGAATAGCTACATGAGGTGCTTTGTAGCTTCACAGCAAACGACACAAAGAACTAATGTGGATAAGGGGAAAAAAAAGAACCCTCTGTTAAAAAATTCAAACCACTTGGAGAGGGATCACACAAAAGAAAACCCTCTTTCAGGGATTGGGGTTATCAGAAAGATCACCTATTTGATATCATATAGTATTTAGAATACTGCTAATGCCAATAATTTGCTATCTGGTGTCAGACTGATAATCACAAAGAAATCCTTAATTGTAAATCAGCTGTAAGTCAAGCTGATATCTATACCCAGTAAATGGTTGGACAGTCGAGTAGTTCGGTCCACTGCTGAGCGCCCACTTCACTGTTTGAATTAGTTTTAAATTGGGGGCTGCAGAGAAATAGACAGGGAATAAAGGAGGACCAACCAATCTTGTGTTGCCAGGCAGGCAGGCTTGTTAGTCCACTCTTTTTCAGTGGCATCTTATCTTAGTTACAAAATGATTACATTTGCCCTTCTAACAGACTTCAGTGCCTGCTAAAATCAAAAATGTATCACAAGCTGTGACCCATATATGTTTTTGTGTCGTTTCTATGGGGATAGATTCCTGATAAAGGAGGCTACTGTGTTGCTACTAAAGCAGTGTCTCTACAGTGTTGCTGTTTGCTCTCATTTCTTTCTTTGTGTACAGAAGATCAGTGGAAATGTAGGTGTATTGGGGACATGCAGCAATTCATCCTATAATAATAATCATAATAATGTATAATGCAAGAATGTTAAAATATAGAAAGATGTTAGCATTAATAGCTCTGGATAGTGATGTTGTGTATGGTCCACCATTCTTCTCAGTTCTAATTTCAGATAACCAGGTAAGCACTATTATCGCTTAAGGTGATTTTAAACACAAACACTGGAAAATGTACGGATCCAAATATCCAGACAGAATGCAGCAGGAGATTGTTTAGGTCGGGCACGTTTACAACAACAAGAAGAGGAAGCGCCTGGAAAGAGCATGCAAACATTTTGCAATGTAAATCACATATCTTTGTATGTATTATACCACGTTTCATTTAACGTCAGGCCTAATATACAAAGGCCCTTGAATCTCATTGTATATCAGAGTTGACATCTTCATCAGTGTCTCCTTTGTGTATGGCACCTGTATTTCATCCCAAGATATTTGTACTGGTGGATTTTTTTTCACTTTTGTATCCAGTTTCCATTTGAAACAACATAAACACGCCCACTGTGCCCAATCACTGTGAATTTTTTTGTGGACATTTAACTGTTGTATTCCTACATGGACTCATTCTGACATTTTCCAGATATTTTTACTAGTGGGCTGGCAGGAAAAAGTTCCAGAAAATGTCTAGAGCAACTGTAATATTTCGCATTCGCATTCTCACATACAGCCCCCCTGGAGTGTCTAGAGTTCAGTGCATGTCTAAGAGGAGCTAAACATGTTGCATTTGCACATACCCATGTCATAGGTAGATTTTATGACTGAACAGAAGAACCAGATTGTGTTACAGATACCATACTTGTGTCTACACCAAAACAAATGTATGCTGAATAATTAGTGCTTTAGAAATTGTTTAACTTTGGTCAAGGAGCTACTTCAGTGTTTCAGTTTGTTTGGGGAATTCTAACATTTGTCATCTTGGCATCAAAACACTGCGCTCACTCAAGGGTGAGGTATGCGTTTCTCAAATTATAAAAAAATGCAGTTTATTAACAGATGATCTTTCTCCATTTCTCCTTCCTCATAAAAACAACTAAGATGGTTGACTTGAAACAACCCAGTGTGTCCAATGGATGCACACAAAACTGCTATTTTATTGGCCAGAACATTTTGTGTTAGGATTT